GTGTTCTATCATCACAGGTCGATTCTTCTGTACTGTACATCCACTTTGATAACAGTCATGTTGAATATTTAATACACCCTCAATATCCTATTTGGAAGATGTATATTTCATTTAGTTCTCAATCAATAAGAAGGATTATAAAGATAAAAACAATTAAAACTGCTTACGCCCGGATTGACCCATACAATATCCTGAGTTTGCTTTATCTTGCGCATACCATAGAATACGCTCACATCACCTGTCTTACATCTAATCAGCTCAATCTTACAATGTTCAGGGTCACATTTGCCAACTCCCCAGACCCTCCGTACCCTTCCAATTATCTTTCCTATTGGAGAAGGTGTAAATTTAGCCTACAAAGCCAGGTAACAATATGTATCAATTATAGAAACCATGCATTGCCTTCAAATCATATTAACTTATAGAAACAAAAACATTGTCTCTTGCTGCTTGGTCATTTGCCAAGGTCATTGACGTCAGGACCTTCCACGTTTCTGAACGATGGGCATTATAAATTACGCCTGGAATTAAACTTTTTGGGTTGGAAGGTTGTGTGTCATGAACTTCTGAAATTTAGATAAGTTTCAGTGTGTCATTGAGTCAGGATTCTGAGGGTGGACTTACTTCCAGTCTTCAATTGACCAGGTTGGTTCCATGACGAATTGTATCCCATTGCTTTCTGGAATAACTTGTTGGTCTTGAAAATATCCGTGACTTTCTTACTTGCTCTGACATAGGATTTCAAGATTTTGTCATACATTGGAGATCCAGAGGTTATACTTCGGGTAAGCCTATGATTATTGGATGAATTTGCTATGTCACGTCCAGGACTTCCGTGATTTGAGTGGATAGAAAGGTTCCTAGTGTTGCCATTATACCCTTTGAAGTTTTCGGTGGCAAAGAGGCATGGTGGACCAAAACGATAGATAGAATCGCATAAGTGAACCAACATGTGGAACTTGGGTTTATTGCACCATTGAGCAGAAAGTTGCAAAATTGCTTTGAGGAACATCTCTATATGGCATTTTAAATCCAACTTTTCTACGTCGGTGATTTCTGTCTGGAAGATGTAAGGTGCTAGATGAGTGAGAGTCAACCATGCTTCACTTTCTTCAGGTGACATTTCACACTGAAAGAAGATGAATGGTGCTGCTTGTAGAACCACACGAAAATCCTTGCCAGTTAGACTAAGAAGATGATTAATCATTGTTTTGGGTTGAATCAGTGGTACATTCAACCCTGAAGTGTTGAAAGATCTCCAACGGCCCCATATTTCATTCTTTTCTTTTGCTGAACAACGTTGCATTCTATTTTGTAAGAGGTATTTTGCCACACCTAACAGGATGACATGCAATATTTCCACAGCAGTATCGCGATGTCTGTCAAATCCTGAAGAGCACAAGTCAGTTTAAGTTGTTTCCAGTACCATATTCAAATTGTTTCCTACCTTTTAACCGAATAAAAGGATTGAATATGCGGTCTTGAAATCTTTCATTAAGTTCCTTGCAAAGCTTTGCAACATATTCTTTTGTAATAGTTGGATCTTGGTGTAAGTCTTGAACTTTCTTGACAAAGAACATATTTAAATGGTCTCAAATTCCCAGTGCGGCTGATTTGCTCTCAAAAGCACCAATGGTACCGGGGCGCTGGGCTAAGTCCCAAAGATTGTGTGTACCGCTTTTGGTTTCCGACCAGCTTCGTAATGGTAAAGATAACTATCATGGTAATGGAATCAATTGCGTGTCAGAGGTGTTTATATACACACAAATTATCAGAATAGAAAAAATCACCTTGGTTCCATCTTCACCAACCCCAACAAAATTACTCGCATACTTTGTTGATTTTTTGTCCATCAGTGTTGCAACCTTAAGGTCACATATACGGCAGGGAGTGAGAGACACCGTTGGATTCATGGTGTTTGTGACTTCTGTGTGCATAGGTGAATCACCCAAATGACATAGCACAAAGGGTACTACCAATACCTCATCTTCTGCAACGTGATCATACACTATGAATCCATCTGAACTGAGTTTGCTAAAAAGTTAAACATTTCAGACTAGATCCTCACATTATCAAATTAAGAGAGATGAATCACTTGATATCGTCAATCACAGGATCTGCTAGCTCCAAAGCACCTGCCGTGTTTGAGGTTGTCAAGAAATGACAGTTATACTCTTGATTAGACAATTTGGGAGGTAATCCGGCCAATGTGAAGTAGAAAGCTATGTGTTTGTTCCACTTTTTTGAGATATTCCCTGAGAGATCGTCACAATACAACACCAGAGGTATGTGGCGGATAATCTTACCCCCCAATTTCTTCCTCCATGGATTTTGTACAGGGACTGTGACAAAGTTTCCGCCAACATCCTCTAAGATACAGGATAAGTTTGACAATGATTGGTAAATATAGTGGTCTGAACAGCTTACCATACATGTGATCACCACAATTATCCTTCAGCAACTGATCCTTGCGTACTTCAATTTTTTCAAAAACCTTTGAAAAGTACTTGACATTCATTGAATCTAAAGACTTGGAATTAAAGTTGGAAGTTGATTGAAACTGCACACGGATTTGTGGACCATCACTGGGCTCTGCACTGTGATAAATTAAACGTGCAGGGGTGCACTTTGCAAATATCTGATTATCCTGTTGATAAAAGAATACAGGGATTACAAGCTGTCCAGAAACGAGTTCCACTGGTTCAAATACATAAAAATGTCCTCTTGGTGCATTGACCATCTGTACGCGCAAGTCTTTATCCAGTTCCTCCCGCCACTTTCTACTTTGTGATAGATGATTCACTTTGTCTGTTGGACCAGGTAGTTCGGGAATTGATTGAAGATGCTCCATGACATAAGGATTTGCGACTTCCTAATGAATTCACATGTGAGTAATTTGCAAGATAACATGTTTATATCAAAAGTGAGGTGATAATTACTTGTGTTAATATCTGCTTCACTTGAAGTCCAAATCACGGTTTTTCCAACGCACTCAGACTTTCAGAGACATCAAAACCGTAGTGTTTCTTGAGTTTTGAACAGCAATTCTGAAGACTTTTGTAACCAGGAATCTTTACGTCCAAAAGACCAATAAAGGACCTCACTTTCTCAAATTGATCGACCAACATTGTGCTCCTGCCTGAGCCTAGTATCATTAAACCAACAAGTTGCTTGAAAATCAAAAGTAAAGATAAAATTCGAAAAGAATCAACATAAAGATGCTGCAGGCCTAGCTGAGACACCTTGTCTCAACTATACAAGGCTACATTGACACACCTCCAAGCTTGAGAAGGGAGCCCAGGATGAAGAATCTGTATTGACGGGCCTTTTATTGGGACCAGATGAAATGTCTGAACATGATTCGCTGTTTGGAACCTCAGAAGACTCATCTTCATACATTTGATGATTCATTGAATGGTCATCTTCACTGTCATCTGTGATTTCATCACCAGGAAGAGCAAAAAGATGGGAATAATCGCAAGTCCACAGATCAATAATTGCCCGCCGTCAATATTCCTCAATGTCGGTGCCCGAATCTGAGTCTCTATCAGCAGTAGCCATGGTTGTATCAATTAGGATACTATGATCATCAGATGCCTTGGTCGGTGAATCAGAGCTGTGTGTTGTCTCATCATCTTCAGACAATGTTGAGGTTACAGCTGTGATGTGATTTGCTGTCCACTTTTCAACATTTTTTGGATGTTTTTCACCTTTGCAGTGTCGAGGAATTGATTCAAACTTCATGGTCCTGTTTCCTTTACAGGCCAGGCATTTATAGACAACATCATCTTGTCCCTGAAAATTTCTTCAAAGCCTTGATAATTGATTTGTAAAAGTCAAATTGATGTTAGCCTCCATGCATCCATGAATGTAACCTGAGTAAGTTGAACCATTTACATTCTGGTACACCCTGAGGTCTTGATGCAGCCATAGCCAACTCACGGTAATCAAAGATATCTTGCTGGAGATGTTAAAAAGAAGTAATTGAAACTATTGATAATCTTTAGTCAAAGGGTACAACGTCTTTTGGTAAAGGTTAAATGAGTGTTGAATGACTTTTCAACCGTTGAGCTATTGATTTCACTCCACTTTGGAACTGCTTTTCATCCGCTGATGAATGAACCAGCGGGAACGTTGAACAACACCACGGTTTTGCAATGCTTTGATTGAAATACAGTTGATCAACCAGAAGGACAGCGTTGATTAACCATATCTCAATCAAACCATTGTAAAACCGGGGCCCGGGTAGTGGGCACACCGAGTATGAACCGGATCTCACCCGTACAATTTTGAACTCCTCACCGCCGGTTGCTCAACAAAAAGTGACCTGGTGGTGTACAAAATTCTGTAAGCTCTACCAAACGCGCACTAAGCCTTGACTGTATAAGCCATTATCCTCAGTCGTCTGATTCAATATTGTTTGGAAACGATTCAATTGCGAGTGAATCTGTAGATAGCACTGTGACCTTGACGTCAAGGACACATTCAACAGGCACTGTGCTAACATTGTTTACTAGCCCCCAGCTAGAGTCGATTGTAACACAACAGTTATCACCAAGCCTTATAAGTGATAAGCTTGGTTCCCATCAATACCTTTCAACTTTTGCTCTCAAGAGTCTTGTCTTATTGTAAGTCTCAGCTGACACTGATTCTCTCTAATCCCACTCCATTGTCATAATATTGTCAATTGTCCCATTACCACTTGACTGTATCCCTGTGACATCAATAGTGCCATACTATTCAGATAAAAGCAGTAATCTTGCAGCCTGAAAACCTTTGGAAAATGTGATTTGGTGTCAACTTTGTTATTGGTTTAGGGTTTAGGCCATAACTCTTCTGACATCTGCTGAGAAAATCCCTTTCATGCGCAGCTCTGACGTCCAAGACAAATTTACGCGTTGAAAACATAGAGCCTTTTGCTCTGTCTGAGTTTTGAAACATCAGGGAAATTCCACGTGGTTCCTGGACTCAAAGGGCCGTGTAATACAGCACACTACTTTGATAATAAACAAAGCAATATTGCACAGGATAGACCATTTTAGTGACGCTAAGTGCAGATACAGAGCCCATAAAAACAAATTCTTCTCAATTCCTCAGATGCATCGAGGATTTGACTTTCTCACGCAGTAGACGTTCTTTGGTATTTTGGCTCACGATGTCTGTGCGGGACTGCGAGTGAAAGTTTGAAATCAGCAGGATTGAAAACAAATAAGAAAGATAAGAGTCGAGTCAAGAAGAAGCACTAGCTTTAGGTGGGTCGCCATCGCTATTGGCATCGACAACTTCAGCGGGGTGTACATCTAAGCGCTTTGAAAGTTCATCGTGGTCGTGAACGGCGCGTTTCGAAGCTATGCCTTTGATTGAGATTCCCACCCCTTCAGAGTGGGGTGAGTGGAGTATCTGGGGTCGATCACGGTCCCTTTGGTTATGATCACGTCCGCAGGCTTCATACGGCGGACTCCTATGCTTAGTGTGATGATAATCATGTTCTAATGAAGAACCAGAGTGCTTCCGACGATGAGCTGAAGAAAGACTATCTTTCGAGTGTATAGAATGAGCAGACTTCTCGCTTCTTGGAGGTCGCGCTGGGGACGCGCGACGCTTGAGTGTTGGGGATATTGAATTCTGGTGGCGATTCGATCTAGCAGGTGATCTCTGTCGCTGTGGCGAGCGGGAGTAAGAAGTGCGCCGTCGGCGATGAGATGAGGAAACATCTCGATCATATCGACTATGGATTGGTGAATGGGATCTTGATCGGGAGCGCTGACGGCGAGGATAGCGCAATCTGTCTCGACGGGGTGAGTGCTCTCGGCGAGGTGATGGAGAGCGTTCTCTACGGCGAGGGGAGTACAAGCGATCAGGCGAACGAGACCTAGTCCGGTGCCTGTTGACTGTATTGTTATCTCGACTACCACCTGCACGGCTTGCCCAACCTGAATCACGATCACGCGGTGGTACAAAGCTCGAATTGCGATTGTAGTTTCCGTTACCGGAGTGTCTCGTCCCTCCACGCGCTGGTCCTTGTTCAGTTTGATATCGAGGTCGACCTGAGGTATTGTTGTTGGAGCCAGGAAACCCTCTCTCCCTTTGCCTGATGTCCGCTATCTTACGTTCCTTTGCAGCTTCAAGCTCTTGTCGTTGCTTTACCGCTGCTTGGGCCTCCATGTCTGCCTGCTCACGTTGACGTAGTTCTGCCTTCTTCTGTTCAATGAATATGGCGGGGACTTTGAGAGGCGAGTCTTGCGCAGATAACAAAAGGACCCAAAGCTCAGACATGAAAGGGCCCGTTTTGGATTCGAGGAAACCGGTGAGATTGATCTGCATCTTTTTAGGGTCCACAATCTAAATTGATAAAGTCAAAGGCTAAGATTGTTATCTGGCCTCATCACAAGTAAAATTGATGAAAAGCTGGACAGGGGGCTTACTGGATTCGCTGGATCCTCCAAAAGACCGTTGACATATTCTACCACGACTTCGTCCTCGAAGCCAAGAAGGTCCATCACTTTTTGCGCAATCCATGGCCTCATCACCGTCATCTCGACTTTGCGCATATCAACCTAGATCGAGGCCGGGTTTAGGATCAGAGATATGCAGTTCTAAAATTGTAGAGATAAACACTCTGAGCAAGACTGCACAAATGAGCATCATTTGTATCTGCCATACCTTCTTATCGAGTTCCTTAGGAAAATTGATGGATTTGAGCAGCGACTTTTCTTTGTCTTTGAAGCGAGTATCCTGGAGAAAATAAATCGTGCTCTTCAGCGGAGCCGCGGAAACTAGTATTATTCGAGCATGAACCTACCTGCTCGCTCGAAGTACCTTTGAAGAACCCTGGGAAACGAGATGCATCAGTGACCAGTGAAAAGAGTTACGAGGAATGAACATGATCGACAAACTACTGACCTGCGTCACCCATGACGAGTGAGGCTGAAGTCAACGATAAAAGTCGATAAGTTGAAACGATGGTCAAGGATCAAAACGCAGCTAGGAGCAGATAAAGAAGGTTATGTATACAAAGTTCCTTTTCACTATCGTGATCGGGAATCTACATATACACCACAAGGACACGCGGATGTCCCAGGGACGACCGGTTTTCGTCGCAGGGGGACGGACATCCTGACGAGACCGATCCGGAGTTACTGGACCCGCCAACATAACGTGGTACCCGTTTACTTACCCAAAGATAGGTATCCGATCCGCGCCCGATAGCCTGGTGTATTGTACGGGGTGCACCCGCAACACGGGGGTGAGAAGGGCTGAGCCTGTGACAGCACGTGAGGAGAACTTATCTGAAGGTTTATATGTTTAGAAACACACATAAGACTCCATTCCAAGATGATATATCAAGGGATATGTGTTGATAGGTCTGGCAAAGACAGATCATCAAACAGAGAAAGTAGAATATAGTGGGAACCATCAAGAGCCACTTAATCGGATAATTTTTCAAAAAAGATTGCCAAAGTCACAAATATCACTCAATTCAAAAATCAAGATATTTTTGGGGTCCTCTTGTTCAGGGCTATTCAAAAATATCCTCAGAAGACCAATTTTCGAAGTTCTTTTTTTTTTTATTCCTGACGGTCAAGGGTGTACCAGAGGAAAATCAGATGTTTGTTGTATGTAATTACAAACTACCCGGTCCGTGGCTTCTTGTGTCTTGATGGTTCCCACTATACCTCTTAAACCCAAAATGTTTCAAGACATGTGCACTGTTTTCTGTTATATAAGGGTTGAGCAATTTCATTGTCTTCCAAATAACTAAAAGGAAGATATATATGTACATATAAGTCTAAGATCAACAACTGATATGTGGTGATAAGATTGAAAGCTAGGATTCAAAGAGCAAATTACTTACCTTTATAGTATCCTGAAAATATTTTGTCCATGGTTGTGAGTGAAAAGTTGTGACTTGTTGATTGAACAAGAAGCACGGAAAAATTCCACATGGATGTGGAAAGTGTGGAATTTGTACTGAGCTATACAGTCATCTCTTGAAGAGCACCATCCAGATTGGGAAGTGGGCTGGTTTCCGCACCGCCAACATAGATGCCTCAGATTGAAAAATCCAAGGCATCATTGGATGGAAACCCTTGGACAGATCTTGTATGAGGATTTGATCCAAGGTATTTTTTGGCGCTAAAGGATACCTCGGATCAAAACCTCGGAAAGATTCAGAGCCTGATATTACGCACGTAATAATAAGTAAAATGATAGGAAACAATGGGTAGCAAAGCCTATTCCTATCAAGTTTGTTAAAATCAAAATGTTCATTTCAATTCTTGATCAATGTTATTAAAAACATTCATTTCAATTCTTGATGCCCATGATGCAAACATCACTTCATTACTCCCCATTCAAGATATGGTGAAGTTCTTCTGTGTTGCCGCCAATGTGGTAGAGTGTTTAGAAAACTTGCTCATGCTCACTACATCCCAAAGGTCTATACAATACCTTGCTGCGAGTCTTCCAGTGTCCATCAATTGGTATTTGGAGGTCTATGGGAGGCTGCTTTCAAAATATCAAAAGATTGTTACATCATTGCTCAACACCAGGTCAATTTTCATGGTATAATGACTGAACTCAGTGATGGTTGCCTACCCATCCACGTTGTTGATCAATTGCTATTTACACCAGTTGAACACTGCCCAAAGTGCTTGAGGACTATGCAGCCAAGATTGCTGTTTGGATACCTATATGATATTGATGGATGTCATACCATTGAACAATTTCATCTTGAAAGGTTGGCCAGTAGGTGTTTGATACAATCAGAGACCAGCTGGTAATTTGTGCTGCAATGTTGTTGGTTCATCAAGAAGCACTTTATCTTGATTTTTTCACTGGATGATACGTGTGGTTGGAACGAACTGCATTGGCCATAGCTTAAAAAATCCATTCTGCTGTTGGATGCTGAAACAAATGTGCTCACTTTGGTCTACCCTGTATGTATGCAATATTTTCCGTGGTTTCCGTGGTTTCTGCACTTTCTGCACTTTCTGCACTTTCTGCCCTGCCATAAGGAGGCTCCCATGCTCTCAGCCTCACCACTGGAGCGTGTAAGATCCCAAATATAGGCTGTACACATGTCTTGTGGGCAAATATTTGAGCCACCGGACCATGGAAGCAGCCTGTATGGGTTACACAAAGTCCAAATTGTTGTAGAGTGTTGTGTTTACACAACTGTGCCACAACAGGTCACATGCTAGCTGTACAGTGTGTAGTAGATTTAGTATCTCCGCCTTGGCTTTGGATTCCACATTATCACTATTGTTGAAGCTGAAGTCTTGGGTGTGAGCTTACCAGCCAATCTATCTGTTATACAAATCTTGACCGGGAGAGTGCAAATTTGGAAAGTGTAACAAAAGCCAAATATCACCAAAATCTGAAATATTGTCCCACCTTCCCTGACGTTTTGGACCAGACAAACAATCCTATGCTTGGATCAAAGGCATACAGTCTAACCCTTGCAATTACATAATTTGGGTGGAAGACTTTTGCTATGCATTTTGACAGGCTATCAAATTCTGTTGTCTAATTTAGCAGTAAAAAGCCTCAAGATTTAGGATTTATTCTATGCATTATCACGGGTTATGAAGTTGTGTGGGTATGTGTTTGTGTGGGTTACAGTGTGTAAAGGCTAATCTCAACCACAGGTCCTCCTGCAAAATAAATTCAAATTTCAAACTCAATGTTATAGATATTGGCTTAACCTTTCACACCTTTTTAGGATAGTTCTGGAATCATGGGACTGGCTAGATTCTGATACTATGGTCCATAGGAACCAGGGACCCCCCCCAAAAAAAAATTCACCAGCCTAACAATTGGGACCCATACCTAAGCCACCTAATTAAGCCCTTAGGTACCTAGCTTATGTGCGTAAGTACCTAGCTTATGTACTTGAGTTCCTGGCTTACGTCTTAAGAGGCTATATTATGTCCTGTGGCTCCTAGCTTAAGTCTTCACGGTCTTAGCTTAAGTTCTTACAATTGTACCTTTCAGCTCCTCTGAGCAATTAGGGAGCAGAGCATCTCTTTAAGAAATCTCACAAGATCAGTTAGCAAAAGTCACTCACAGTCTGTAGACAAGAAGTATGAAAAGCAGTCACCGAGTGCAAGCAATTTCAAAATCATTTGTGTAGGGTGTCTGGGATGATTGATGGGTTATCTGATGGTGAGCAGATTGATAATTGTAATGATTAGGTCTATGAAAAGATGAGTCTTTGCAAAGAGCATGACACTGTAAAGACCGTGACATTGCAAAGATCAATCTGAGGTGAAGAGTGAGTTAAGGTACAAATTGCTTTGATGTAAAGATCAAGTTAAGGCAAAGATCAAGATGATGTCAAGATCAAGACAATGTAAAGATTGAGTTGTTTGTTTCAAAGTGTAACCATATTGAAAGGATGACAAGACCATGAAAATGATATTACAAAAGGCAAAAGTTGAAAAGTCAAATAGAGCAATAAAATACCAAATACCACGCGAATCAACAGATCAGGATGATAAGGGGAAAGGATTGAGTGAAGAAATGATGTTTTGAGGGTGTGTATTGCCTCTGTAGCACGTTCCTCATGGCTGAAAAGTCTGGATTTTCCTTTGACCAACAATTAGGCCCCGGGCCGGTGGGTAAAGCTGTAGTTGAGATTAGCCTTTATGCACTGTAGATGCTTGCTGATGCAAATAGGCCTGTTTAGACTCCAATAAATGTATCACTTGCGACAGCTGGCTGAATTCCTGTCGGATAATGGCTCTATCAAAATTTCTGAACAGGATCTGAACCTACCAAATGACTGGAAACCAAACACTCTACGTAGCTAAAATACCGCCATCAAGAATTTTTTGTGATACCTGGAAAGCAAAAGCATCTATGATTTTGTCCTACCCGCAAGCCCCAAGGATTTTTACAGCTTCTGTTTCTGGGCAGGCCTGACTGAGCTAGGTTCAAATGGAAATGATGTTGATGTGAGCACCTTGAAGAAGTACTTGTTTGGTTTTCAACCATGGCACCTTTTTCATCACATACCTTACCCTCATGTTGTGAAGGATTGGGTAGCGGTGATGCTGAGGTCTTTGGCGCAAGCAGGTGCCCTGTAAGTTTAACCATCCAAACCTCCTAAGCTGGCTTTCATGCTCAAAGACCTAATTGCTCTATTTCAAGATCTGAACAAAGATCACCCTAAAGATTCAGCCATCCTAGATTGCACTGTCTGCGCCTCCTGGGGATTAGCTCGTTTAGCTGAACTCACCTACAATGTATCCTGCGGCAACACAGCCTGGATTAACTCAGTCTGGTGCAGTGATGTTGTTTGTACAATGGGGGAATCTAATTCCTTGACACTGCAGGTTTGTGGCACAAAAACTTGCGGCTTCGCCATGTCTTACTCGGCTTCGGATGTTGTGTCTCTCCTTGAATTTGGAAAGCCATCCGTCCGAATAGTTCATCTCCACATTCATTAGCTTGCCAAACTCCTTGGCCTTTGCTTGTATGATATCACCGGTGACAATCATGTCGCGTGCATTTGCTTTGATGATCCAATGGAAGAGTGCTTGTTCAAGTTCAGGGAATTTTTCTGGGCGCTGTCTTTTGACCGATGCACCATTTGCTTCAACGACTTCAGCTAAGGATTTTGAATCCTTGATCCAACGGCTTAATGATGATTGAGTTATGTTAAAGTGAGCGGCAGTCTGAGCTTGAGTCTTGGCATTCTTGAAATGCCAGGCGAGGATCTCGATTTTTTCACCGATATCTTTGACGGAACGGCGGGCAATCACAGCTTTTGACGAGTTGGTTGTGTCTTTCTCGGCATTTGACGAGTTGGTTGTGTCTTTCTCGGCAATTTTGTTCTTTTTGACCGTTGGACCAGCATCCTTATCGTCATCCAAAAATGGATGTTTCTTTCACGCGGCGTGATAATCTAACACTGTGGCCACATTGGAAGTGTTTTTATTGGCAACTTTGGATCAAGGAAGCATTAGTAAAATTGTATCATGACCAGTGGATTTAAGGCTTACCCTTTTTTGATGGCTTATGTCCCGTGTTCCCAGGTCCCGAAGCTCGATTAGCAGCAGGAAGTGCAGCCCCAGCCGCTAAGTGATGAAGAGAGATATTTATATTCAAAATCAGGATAAACAACCCGTCACGAGTCCCATGAAGATACAACAGCCAGTCATACCTTTCAACTTGTCCTTCATACCTTCAAGCTTGAGAAGAACAAGAGAATCAACATTTGATGTCCAGTTGGGATGCTTTTGTGCGGTGTCTATATAATCCAAGACACACTGAATCCCATGTATTCCGCTGAGTAAGTATGTTGATCCACAATCGACCCCATAGACATTGTCTAGGTTGGTGTTGATAGTAATTGTAATGGTGTCCTCGTCTATGCTGGGATCAACAGGAGGATTGCTGAACATGTTGTACAGCCTGTCATCAGTGGTGGCTTTCCTGATTGAAGGGCAGTTTTGAGACAATAACAAAACTTCTTTCATAAGAGCAGTAACTTTTGGTGAGGACATCGTGGTTTAGGTGAGTTTGTATTTCAAGGGAGAGGGAGGGAATGCTCATTGCTATCAAAGCGTACATGCAGAGGTTTTGGACCCTGTGACTTTAGGGAAGAATAGACTTTTTTGACACTTGACTTCCTGAGAAACATCCACCGGAAGCTAACCAGTATGTAGTATAAATTAATCTCTATAAGAGCATATTCCCCCTTTAGTGTGGGAAATATGCCTACATATGCCAAAATATTCTCGCAATAAGAGCATACTTCCCGCCATTCTATGCTTTAATCATTATGCATCAAGCATTCTGATTTTAGCGGGGCCCTCACGTATACCAAAAAAAATCGCGCGCCAACCCTTGCTTAAAAAGCGATATGCGTACATAGGGCTTGCTTACATCGAGAGTTGACTGTATTGAGATATCTCGGTGTGTAATAAACTAAAGCATTCATCAATGTTGTTGAGTCTTTGTTGGAGCTCACTGGAAAGTTGGCATTCAAACTCAGTGTTTTGATGCGTAATTGCTAGTTTGAAAGCTTTAAACAAGCTAAAAAGTCCTGAACAGAAGATTGTTGGAGAATTTCATTCTCGGGTATAGTGTCAAAACCATCAAGGTAGAAATCAATTCAAATTAAATAAGAAGGCATGATGGAGAAGGTAACAAGGATGAAGTCAGAAGGAGATGACCGGATTGGGATTAAATCAATTGGGTGTTAAACGAGAACATTAGAAGACTGACCGCATTGGGATTGTTTGTTTAGTTGGTTATGTTTCATATCATGTTTGAAAAAATTGGTTCATGTGTTATTTTTCCTTATTAACCCTCCACTGTGTCCTTTCGAATCTTTTTCCCCATCGAGGAAATTGATTTGAAAGGTAAGCTCAGAAAATCAATAACTTTTCGCTTACTTTCTTTATACGTTAATAATGCTGAAGTGTCTATTGTTTTCGCACATTACTTGATTTTACGTTTTCTTCTCTTTAGTCTTTTATTACTTCTATCATCCTCGTTCCCTCTTCAGGTTTGTCTTATCTTGAGTTTAGTACTCGTTCTCTTAGTTGTCAGCCGTGCCTTGTCAGCATAAGGCTGAGCGTTGTTTTTCACCTTTATAAAGGTTAGTATTGTCTTTGTGGTTGTGTACATGTTTACCATCGAGGAAATTGATTTGAAAGTCTTTTATTACTTCAATCATCCTTGTTCCCTCTTCAGGTTCGTCTTATCTCGAGTTTAGTACTCGTTATCTTAGTTGTCAGCCGTGCCTCGTCAGCATAAGGCTGAGCGTTGTTTTTCACCTTTATAAAGGTTCATCGTAGATTCACAGCGTCGAGCGTGTAATCCTCATATTCTTACAAAGATTTGAGGAAGCTTTTGATAAAACTGTGAGAACCTTCAACACACAAAGTGGTTTGGTTTCCAAAGTGAAGAAAATGATTCGCAAACATTTTCACATACTTTTCTACTATTGGTAACCAGTTTGACTGAAGATACTGAAGGATTGTAGGTGAGTGATGCTGTGCAATCTTGATAAGTTTGGATTTGTTAGCATTGTATTTGTCTTGAGTGCAAGAAGCTACAAAAATATGCCAGCAAACATAGAATTCATCCCACTCCTTTTTGACCGTAATGATAGAAGCACATTTATTTAAGATGGCCTTGTTGATATGCCACATACATAAGATATGATAGCTTCCCGGAAAAACATAAGAGATTGCCCCAATAAGTGCTTGTTCTTTGTCAGTTACAAAAGTCTTTGGCCAAGTGTCATGTGGCTTGAAGAGTTTTTCAAGCTGATGAAGTTCCCAAGTGTATTCCTGACACTCTTCTTTTTGCATGAAGCAGAAAGCAAGCGAGAAGGAGAATTGAAACAAGTTGATCCAACAATATGTAAGAGAGGAAGGCAATATTTGTTGGTATTGTATGTGCAATCTAGTCCAAAACAATATGGAAAGTGGTGTCCCATCTTGATTGCAGTGGGATGAGCAAAAAAAGTGATTCAACAGCTCCATTTGGTCCAAGCTTCATTGCATAAAACCAATTTTCTTTTTGAAGTCGTGTAATCAGATTGACTATGGCTGTCTTCCCTCCAAGTTTGGTTTTTCAAGAGCGGGCTGTCTGATTGTATATATCTTGCATTGGTTGATGAACACTTTTACCCAGAAGCATTTGTCTAATAGTTTGAGAACAAACATTAGCCTATTTCAAAGTGTGAATTGATTCTTCCTCTTGTGGTTTAAAGCGGTGCAGGCGAGGTAAGCCATTTGCTCTCTTGAATGGATTGTGGTTGTGACAAGCGTGTTGATTTGTAACTTTCAAATGACCTTGTTTCTTCAAGTAGTTGAGGGAAAATCCAAAACCACAGCCTGATTTGGCTGTACTACCACTTTGTGGTTTTTTTGAGTCCTTATCAGTGTTTGACAATTTTGCAGTGCGTTTGGTTTTCTGATGACCACAAGTACAGTAGAAGTATTGGCTCTGACCATGAGGGCCTTTGTTGGACTTGATTACAATTGCATAACCTTGATGCCGTGCATGAGCCTCAAGGTATTTTTGGCCAAGCTCTTTGGACTTAAAGATCTTGCCTTCACACGGGGGGTGCAACCCTTGCTCTGGTTGGACTCCTGATAGGGGATCAGAGATATACATATATGAGACTGGTGTAGTTTTAAAACCAAATTCATTGCAACAATCAAACATACCACAGGGATGTTGAAAGCCAATCAAGACTGAGGCTTAAGTTATGGTAGCTGTGTTATAAAATTGGAAATAATGTTAAGGATAAAACCAAGTATGTATTTGAGCAATGCTGAGCACTTTGTCTCTTGTCTGAGACGATCAAGAAAGCTGCGTTTTATTGTAACGCGCATCAATCCCAATCAACTTTGTAAAACTTTGTCTCTTACTTCGTATTTGTGTGGTAGATGTCTTATATACTACTCATGTGTCCCATCTTTGATTTTGTCTCTCTTTCCTCATCTTTGGGAAAGAGAGTAAGTGTTTTGTTATCTCTAGAGCTCTCGTATCTTTCTCTTTACTAATATTTCATTATCGGTAGAAATTTCCTTAGATCACTTGTGCCTTTAGCTTTATAAAGCTTCATCTTAAATCTCACATTTTACTTTTTATTTCCTCCGTAAAACTTAGGTTAGTCTCAGGTCTGCATACCTGTAGTATTGGAGAAGGGTGCTCACCTTTAGCATCATTGATATAGTCTCAGGTCTGCATATCTGTAGTATTGGAGAAGGGTGCTCACCTCTAGCATCATTGATATAGGTTCAACTCGTGTTCTAAGCCATTTACAAGGGAGGCCAGTCTTCATCCATCTGATCAATTTCATCTTCATCACTTGTACCTAACAAAACAACACCTGATCAACTAAGGTTCATTCTTAAAGTCAAGATTAGGTACATACTTTCTCTGGATTCATCATCATTTTTATCAGACTCATTATCAGACATCTCTCTATCTCCCTCTTCTTCTTGTATGAACTCATAAGCTTCTATGTTGTCTTTGTTGCTCGCATCTTCATCCGTATCGCCGTCTGTGTCCTCTTCACCACCCGTTTTGGTCCGGTCTTCAAGTCCTAAATTCAAGTGGTGGTTGCTTTGGTTGTAGATCTGTACAGTAGAGTTAGGGTGGTGAGATGGTCTTGAACAATCATCACGTCCTGGGATAAATTGATTGAGAAGGTGTTCATTGCTGCCAGAGTCGTGATATGGATGCATATTATTGGAATGTGTCTTTGATTGCTATGAATCAAGGGAGACCTAGGGAGACTGATTTGACTGGTTTGTTGTCGCTCAAAGTCAACAAAAGTAGTACCCTTACAATTTTTTTACTCAATCTCTCTCCATATGGTACATACAGGTCTTGCTATAGATAGCAAGGGGTAAAAGCACTCTATGCTTCTATTCATCAATTACAGCAACACCTGACTTCAGCGCAGAACCGCGCAGAGTGGGCTAAACTGCGCAGCGTCCAAACTTTTGAAAACATGCTCTGTCGCTGCGCAGCGCTGAGGGCGCAGTGACAAAAGAAACGATAACCCCAGCGGTGGGCAAAGGTGCAGTTCAGCACAGCGCAGTAACCTCAAAACTGCGGTAGGTAGGCCAAGATTCACAAGAGCGAGGTAGAGCGAGGTAGAGCGAGGTATTGTAAAATGGGGACAATCAGATTTTTGGGAGTTCCGAATCTGATGAGCTTACAGCGGAATAGAACAGTTTGAAGCGGAGTACGTAGAAGATCATTTTTGATTTGAATTGGAACATTGAAAAGTTTAAATCGATTAGAAGATTAAAAGGGTTTTAAAGAACGTTACGAAAATAAAACAATGATCAAAAGCAATTAAGAATGAGAGCAGAAAGAGGCCAAAGATGGCCGAGCATTCATTTGCTCGAGTCTTGGGCTTTCTTGTTCTTTTTCAAAGTCTTCACCAGTTTGTCTACAGCCACAACAGCTTTTCCAATTTCACCACCTGGATAAAAACCATGCTTGAGCCACTGACAGACGCCTACCGCGCGTTCGATCGTTCGTGAAACTAGACCACCACGACTGGTGGTACATATGTGAGCTGCTGTGCTGAAGGTCCTCTCAACAGCGCAAGAAGTTCCAACACAACAGAGATAGTCTCTCGCAAGCCTAGCGAGCTTTGGGAAGTTCTTTTGATTGAACTGAGAAGATAGATTGATTGAGTACCAGTAAGTGTGTGTATTAGGAAGAAGGAAGACTTACTCGCCACCATTCCAATATATCGCCTTTACAAGGGTATTTACCAGACATGTAAAGGTCAATCTCGTCATCGACAGAGAGTTTCAGACCCGCAGATGCATGGAAGGCACCTTTCTCTTCAAATGGGTCAGACTCCTCAGTCGGACCAAGTGTAGAATCAAGATTTTCATCTTGCTCTTCGCCATGTGGCTCTTCAAGGGATCCGAGTGTCTGACGAAAAAGTCGTTCAGCATTCATGGCGTATTCAGGATACTGTTTGGTGAAGAAAGTGAGACGGAAGTTCGGGTTGAGTATGGTTGCCAATATGATGGGGTCGCAGTGTAACGCTTCGGTTTGGTACAGTCGCAGCTTGCTAGTCATCGTGGTTATCATTGATGAGATGCTTGGATGAGGTGTCGCAGTCTTCTTTGCGGTCAATAAGCTGATTACAGTGGAGTATTGGAAGAGCACCGATCCCGCGGTTGGTCCGTCTATTTCCATCTTCTTGGTGGAACGAAGAAAAATCTACACATTGACCAAGAGAGATACAAAGTCAATATTCCCTACTTGGAGCAAAAGAAACTTGATGTGTACCTCGAGAACACTGTTCAGTGCCTCGACTGCCTTCCACTCATCGGGAGATATAGTGATCCCTTCGTAATACCCTTCTTGATCAGATGTGATCATGAAATTGATAACCTAAGGATGGCAATTGGAACAGAGAAGAGCAATGAAATAATCAATACATTTCCATTTGTAGAATTCGACTATGTACTTACCTGCTTTGCTTCACAACAGCGCGACTGGGCATCGTACCAGATGTTCCACCGCTGGCCATGAGCCCCGATCAGTCCAGGGCCCTTATAAGAGAGTTGGAGTGCTGAGTTCTGAAAATGATTGATACGAGGAGCACTTGATGTGATCAACTTGTTGATCCTTCGAATCTAGGAAAAGATGATTGATCAAATCATTATCAAACATATGTAGTGGTGGGATACAGATCGAAGGGGGTTTACCTTGGTGAGAGCACGTGGTAGAAGATCGGCTTCTGGATCTTGTGTTTTGTAGTCGGGGCCTTCATCTTCTTCATTGCTCTCGGCGTCTTCATCACGAGCTAAATCTGTGATTGGATTCACATCAGTAAGATCCTCTGCGCCAGAAACTTCTTTGTCCTTGTCCTCGAGTATAGTACCGTCCGAGAGCACTATCTTTGGGGGTGGTAAGCTGTCATCAGGCAAGAGTAAATGAAGTCTCTTTCCACAAGGGGCTGAGGGTTTTGTTTGGCCGGATCCAAAGCCAATCGTGTCCAATCCAGCCTTGACTGTGAGAGCCAATTTATGACAATAACATCGTATCTGATTTCGACTTGAGTTCCAATAGACAGGATCATCCGCATTCTTGAACATCTTTTCTAATTCTTTGGCTAAAAGAGGATTGCTTGATCCTGAGTCCGTTGTTTGAGCAACCATGTGTGACACGAAACCAAGGTAAGCTTTTTATCGAGTCAAAAAAACATCATTGATATGAAAGAATGGAAAGAACATATCTTTTTATGTAGTCCATGCCGTATCAGGAAACGTCCTACAGGGCGTGCGAGTAAAACTCCATAATGATTCCACGCTACAAGCTTAAGGGTCAAATGAACCATATGAAAATGAAAATCTTTGTCGATATATGACACAGCCACACCAATGAATGCTCGCTTTCCACCCTTTGTGGTCCAAACATCATGAACTACACAGATTTTGGATGATAGATCCTGGGAAACGAAGCCAAAGTCAAAGCCAAACAAGATCAACATCAGTTACACAATCAAGTGATCATATAGATCGAGCAAAACTTATCACCTGAAGAGTCTTGATCAGCTTGTGGTGGAACTCCTCAAAGTAGTCCATCGCCTTCCGAGCTGCCCACGAAGCCGTCCATAGCTTGGCTGATGGATTGCACAGCGCAAATGCAGCCTGAAGATACGGATCTTCCATACGTAGCCAAGGAATGCAGTTGCGAAGAAGCCATAGAACTAATATGATGTTGAGTAACGAAACTGAGAACTTTGGTAGATCAAGGAAACCATCAAGTGTGTGATTCTTCTGAACTTCTTCCTGAGCTTTGGCACGTGCTAACTCCGCCTGCTTGTCCTGCCAGGTTGGTGGGAGATTTGCCCCAGCCTCGACTGCCCGGTGGCGTTGTTTACAGTGATTGCGATTGAGATCACCATCTCGATGGCCAAGAAGATTCCAACGGCTTTTGCGGCCATCGGTGTATGCATTACCACACCACAAGCATTCACGGCACCTAGGTGGTTCGTTTTCTTTCTAAAGGATTTGTCAGATTAGATTTCTTGACAACCACGTAATTGAAACACTTCTACTTACTTGCTTTGGTCCATGTATAAGCTCCTTTCCAAAGTAGAGATTAATTGAATCAAATCCCTGTTCACCAGACTTGGTTTCGCCTTGAAACTCAATTTCTGAATCTTGGTCGGGGTCAATATTATCAGGAAGTTTATATAAAGTCTAATAGTACCATATAGTAGTCAGTCATGTGATGAATTTGTAATGAAACGATCAGACTTACATGTTTTTTCTTCCCACTTTTGGTTTTGGTTTTGGTCAAGGTTGAGGTTGAGGACTTTGAGGCTTTAGGCACTTGTCGAGTTCGTTTACCATCGGTTTGGGATGGTGTACTATTGAAAGAATTCTCTCCTGGCTCTTCATCTTCAACTTCTTCCTCCTCAACTTCCAATTCCTGATTATCTTTGTTGGGGTCAAAATTTTCATCATCTGAGTCTCCATCAACTACAACAACTGATGCTATATTATTAATTTGTGATTGAGTTTGATTAAGAAAACTAGTATTTGCACGCTTTGCAGACTTTGTGAAGGGGTTGGACTGAGATGACAAAGTGGAAGACTTGGGTTTCTTTGAAAGTGGAGCTTTTGATTTCTTAGAAAGGGGTCTACGTAAAGTCATTTTGAGATAATATGATATATCTAAACAAAGATAGTGGCTAAAGATTTATTTGATAATTCAGAAGGTGGTGGTCTATCGAGCAAAAGTGAGAGGAATTTGAGGTGAGGAAGATCTCATGAAAGAGCAAGAGAGCGTGAGTGAAGGAGGAGACATCAAGAGACATTTCCCAACTCTCATTTTTCTCCCTATGTAATAGAGTTTTGGAGGATATTGGGGTAATATTGGACAAGATTCTAGCCCAATGGATAATGGATGGGGCCCAAAAATTGTCTAATGTATCAATATCTTTAGCGTTGTTTATGTACATATTGTACTCTGCTTTAATGTTGCAATGTAGCGCAGGGGGCGCAGTTTTGATCAATCCCATAGCCACTGCGGTGCAAAAATGCGCAGTGGTCAAAATCAGAAAACCCACTACGCTGGGGGTAGGCGCAGTGGGGAAAATTCTCAAAATCCCCGGCGCTTGGCCACAGCGCATGCGCAGACTGCGGCGCGCAGGGTGCGCTGGAAGTCAACCGTTGATTACAGTGTCCAATTTTCAAGGAGTCGGCGTCAGAGCTTTGAAAGCATCCCAAAGGGATGACGCCAACTTGTACCAAATCACAAAACCTGGCTTAAGAATGATTCTGAAGCCTTTGGAGCACTGTACAGGCTTCTCAGGTTTTTCCAACCTGTACAACTTCCAGAATACTCCGAGCTAACAAAGAAGGGCGTCATTTTTGTTTTTGTGTTGGCGTCCTTTATCAATCACCTTTGTTATTATCTTTTATTATTATTTTATTTTTTGTAATTTATATATATATATGTATTTCTTTCAGGTTCCCATTTGGTTCTCACATATTTTAGTCTTTTAGTGTTATGTCTTATTTATATTTTGTTATGTCCACTGGCCACCCCGTAGGGTGTTTTTTGCTTTGTTAAAAGAAAAATTATTACCCTGGGCTGTTCTAGCCTAGAACTTCTTCCGTTTGAGTATTTTCAAATACTGGCTTTTGTAAGTTTTATAAAGCACATTTCCAATGTTTTTTTCTTGTTTGATTGTGCAATCACATTTCCTTTGTTTGGGTACCCTTCAATACTTTTATCTGGAGTATCTGAAATAATTGATTCCAATATTTGTGCCAGCAATGCTGTTGTTTGTCTGACCTGCAAGGCTTGAGAGCAAGCTTTTCGAATCCTGACCCCATATGTCATGTTTGAAGACCACTATACATTTTTTACTCTATAAAAAGGTACCCTCTCACACCCATTTTGGTTTCCTCAATCCTCCTGGGAAATTTTCCCACCTTAAAGCTAATCTCATAGCTCTATCTTTCATCCAATCTGTTAAAGCCCTATACATTTCCTATTGGCATCTTTTTGTTCTGGCCTCTTTTTCAAAGAACTACACTGTAAATCTTCTATCTGGATTATTTGTACCCACTTACATTTGCTTCAATCTCTCACCAAGCCTACAACCTGTAGCTGTATTCAATCTCCATCTTTTGTTATCTTTCCAGGTTCCTTCTATTCTTGTATGTAAAAGCCAGAGGAATGAGTGCAAAACGTAAAGGCATGATTTAAAATGAATGTGAATTGTGTTGTGCATTGATTGGATCAGGTAGGAAGGAAGGGAAATATTACTCTTGATGATCAAGGCTCTAGGAAATGCACTTTGGGTGGTCAAGCCCAATCTGTCTTTATCTATTGGGGATGCTTGCAAAAAGGCCAGCCTCCATATGGCCTGGACATTTATAAGCATCAATGTCCTCCAAGCCCACACACACCTTGAAGTTGTTGACAACTGTAAGTTCAAACACTGAGATCACAAATCAAATGTCTTGGACAATTCCGACATAGGTTTGAGAATCCGGTCAATACGGACTTCAGGTTCACCTTGAGTGAGTCCATTGCCCATGAAATTTGTTCCCTTCTTTATTCACTGCTCAAAGCTACTGTTGATATTTTACGCAGAATAATATCAAGCTCAAACAAAAATAGCGGTAAACTTATCATTTAACCACGAGTCATTTGAGTATTTGAATATGGAGAAAGGTTATAAGTTGTCTTTACTGGTATAAGCGGTGCGACTTTTGCGTCTGGTTAAGTTGTGAAAGTCAAACTGTGGCGGGCATACCCGCATGTTCTCTAGTATGCAAAATGCATGCTCAACGACTATGGACACCAAGTTTCTCTTCCTTGAAATTCTGGATATATGTACTCCCAATTGGTTATCATCAGGTCACTTCAGATGTCCTTATTTGATGCAAGAAGATGAGTTGAACTGGTTGCCTCCAGTCTACGTACATCTGTTTCTCTGGAGGTGTATTCATTTACGATTTCAATCCTTCACTCAACTTATCGCACCTCTCCAGATCAAGATTTCTCTCCGTGTAACGATCTCGTGGCTACATTGAGTCTGACAGTCTGCGAGGTTGTGATCTTGACTGATATGTATGCGGCATGACAAATTTTCGTGAAGAGATCTGAAAAGATGGAGGATTGATGGAGGGTAAGATGGGTGTACGATTGATACAAAAGTTCAATCGACTCACGCTCTAAACCCGGTATGACTCGCAATTGTGGTGGGACTTGATCAAATTGGCATCCTGTTTTCTTGGAGCATCGAATTATTTTTTTGTATCTTGTTTTCACCGATGAGACTAGGATGCTGAGATCACGATTCCTTTCAAGTGTAATTCTTTTCGAAGTTGTGGCGGTCAGTCCCTGCTGTCACATTAGATTTGGTCTCACTTCACCACTAGTTATGCCATGTATCACGGCTGGTGGGTGGGTTGTTGTAAATACACGTCCTTTAGCTCGGTGGCGTTGTCTATAGTGGCGTCTAAACGTGGAGGTTAAAACTGGCGCCAGCAGCCAACTGTTGCCAACTCGATCAACTTGGATTTGTTTGTTGGGATCCTGCTTTGTCTTGTGATTTGTCACTTGTGTGGTGTTTCATCCTGGTTTGGATGTGCTTGCCAAACTTGTACTTATACGTAGATGTGACATTCTAAGATTGTGAAGCATAAAGAAGAGTTCCGTTTGCCAAACATCTCGATATCCTCGATATCTGTTCAGGAGTTTGAAAATGAAAGATTTGTTTTGCAGAAATCAAATCCTATTTTAAAGGACTGTACTTATTTTCCAAGGTGGAGTGATGATATAGATTTTGACCAATTTCCCTTTTAGATATCACGCTTTAAGCTTCCACTTCAGCCTTTCTCATCAAAACCTTTGGTATCGATGACCTTGAGTTGATGTACATAGTTGGGCTATTCAGAGTAAGAGAGGATATCATTTGATTACAAAGTTACCCTTTGCTGAGATTGGTTTAAAGTTTGTAACTTTCTGCTTTCACTGTTTCGCTTGTGTCGTGTTTTTGTGATTCTTGTTTATCGTCCGGGTGGATTGGGTACAGTTTTTTCTTTTCTTTTGGATTTCCCTTCTTCGGAATCTTTCTTCTCTATCATCAAGCTCATTTCGGTTCAGCTCTCACATGTCCCTGCTTTGCACAGTTGCCATCTTTTCGTTTTTCTTCCCAGATTGAGGTGGCCCAAACAAAATTCATTCGTTCTCAATCCATCGATCAAACCAATTCTATATCTTCAACAACAGTTCAATCAAATCAGTCAGTCCTAGTTGTTACACTTATCATTTCCTCTTCTTCTTTCTTCTGATCTTCTCCCTAAATTCCATTTCGTTTGTCTGCTCCTGTCTCTCTTTCTTGCTACATACTTATCGATCCTAATTCTAGCTTAGGATAGCTACAGCTTTTACGTACTCAGAGAGTCGTGATTCAGAACCAATACTGCATATTAAAGGAGAGGTGAAAATTGATCAGATAGGTTTTGGTGTATACTAGATATCTTACACCAAGACTCAGAGTGGATTTGTGGTTTCAGCTTTCAAGTGGTTCCAGATTGGTTCATGAATGCTGAGTTGATAAATCTTCAGAATCGATTGAGATTTTTAATCTTTTTTTGATTTTGATTTTGATTTTGATTTTAAACCTATTCTCGATTCTCGATTCTTTTTTGTTTTTTAATTTGGCTTTGTTCCCTTCGCTTCTTTGTCTCTCTTGCCCAATTTCATCACTCATTTTACCACCTCTCACCCGATCCCCATCTCACCCCCGGATCTCGTGGACGCCAATTCAACTAGTTCCTGGTCCTTCCCCGCCCCCGACAACCTGGTGCTGCAAGTCTTGCATCCTGCACATCCATCAACCTTCTCGTCTACCTCCTTCGCAACGCAGGTTGGACTCGCGTGATATCGTAGTACCTCACTTTAGGCATTCAATCCCCCTGGCCTGAACTAGGCTGCGATCTACATACACACTTCCTACCTAAAAAGTTAATTTCACTTTCAACGATTCACACCTCAACATTTTCAACATCTCCCCGGACGGCACTTGTTATCCACTATCACCTCTGCCCTGCTGAGATTCATTATGTCATTCTTCAGCTCGACTAATACCACTCTTCGAAACTCAATCACTTCATCTGATTCTTCTTCTCCGACCATCACCACTCCTACTGCTCTCGACCTTGGCTCACCACTGCATTCACTTTTACCATCCATCAGGAATAACGCAGCCCCCTCTGGTTCAGCTTTTGTACCGCCACTCATCCGAATCGTCACCAGTGTCTCTTCTGACTCTCCACCCAACACCGCAGCTTGTCCTGTGCCTCAACTTTCGATTGACGCCCTTTCCTCTTCTAGACCTCGTAGTCTGCGGAGGATGTCATCCACTGGTACCAATCTCAACTTATCCAACCCATCTCAATCCAATGCTTGTGCCAATGCACTTCTCGCCTCGCCTCTCAATGGCCACAAGCGCTTGAACCCCTTCAGTCTTCAATCTACTCCGACTACTGAAGCTATCGTTATTGGTGGAGAGTGTGGTTTGGCTGAGGGTGGGACTTCTTTGTATAATGGTCGCCCGCCTTCGGGGGAGAAGTGGTATGCTACCTCTTGGTCTCTTGACCCTTTGATTTCATATGCTTACATACAACTGATTCGGTCTTTCAACGTGTAAATTTAGGATCGCACACCATCTTTCGGCTGTCCTACAACATTCATTTTCAGTCTCGTCCATTCATCCCATCACATCCGTTTCCCCAACATCCTCCCCTCATTACCTATCTCATCAAACAGATCTTTCTGTCATCAAGAATAGTGCTCCTCTCACTCCAGCTGACCAGCTTCGAAACAGATCATCTTTGACATCACTCTCAAGCTTCGCCGAGTCCACGACCACCGATGACGAAGTAGACGAAGAAGTAGAAGCTCAGAGCTCCACCAGCTCGACCGAATCTTACCTACAGCCAAGTACTTCAACACTACTCTCTAACTCTGCGGTGGACGAAAGTGAATCATTTAGCTGTCACTCGACTCTGTCTTCTACCCCTCGACAATGTATCCCACTAGCGATAGCAGACCCGGAATGTCACTCTCCGCAATGCGTTACCAGAACACATCTTCTGAAGATTCTAGATACCTGGTCCTTTGACGCCAATTACCTTTCGCCAACACAAATTCGACATGCGCTTCATGTCCTTTTATCTACCTACCTCACATACACCCCTGGTTTTATTGCGAAGCTTGATGAGATTGGCGTCTCACAGCCTGAAAAGTGTTTGACGAGCCTAGTAGACAATCTTGAAGTTGCTTACGACCCTCGGAATGCCTATCACAACTTCCGACACGCAGTTGATGTTGTACAGGCTGTTTACACCATGCTTTCCCATCAAGGCGTTGTCCCACCTCTGGATTGGGTTCGACGTCATGAGGCTGGTGAAGCCAAATTCGACCAATGGGAGCGAGCGCCAGTGGGACGGGTAGGACGCGCCATGGATGAGATCACTGTTTGGGCTTTGCTTCTCGCTGCTGCAGGTCACGATGTTGGCCACCCGGGATTGAGTAATGCTTTCATGGTGCATGCTTTTCTATAGTCTCCGTCACCTTGATATGTCGAAAGGCTTACATTCCTTTGCTTCTCTTATTGTGCGGATGCAGGTCAATGCTCGTACTCCGATTTCTCATGTCTTTTCAGATGGTTCAGTTCTAGAAAACTTTCATCGGATAACCTTTACCCGCATGCTACGCCAGCACGGATTTGGGAAATTGGTGGATACACACGCTGGCTTCCGACGAGTGATTGTCAGTTCAGTTTTGGCAACTGATATGGGACGTCACTTCCCAATTGTAGAAGAGCTCAAAGCACTGTGCAAGCTATGGGAGGACGATGAGAGTACAATTGAAGCCTCACTGGATGAAAAGGCATTGATCACGGCTGGCCTTATCAAGTGCGGAGACATCTCGAATTCGGTTAGTTTTCATGCTCACCTTCTATCTGTCTTTGTTTCAAGCGGCTCAAGTAACTTCCCGTCCTTCAGTCTCGACCCCATCATATCTCTCTCACATGGTCTTCGTGCTTACTGCACGAATGGTCTCGCCAAGCCGCTCTCGAAAACGACCTTCACTTGCCAGTCAGTGTTGTAACGCTAGACCCGGCTGAGAAGCGCGCACAGGCGAAAAGCCAAATTGGTTTCACTACACTCTTTGTTCTGCCACTCTTTTCCGTCATGGAGACGCTCAGTCCAATTGGTGAGTTCAATGCTTGTCATCCAATCATCCATTTCGTTTTCCATCTCATTTGGTGTTGATTCTCGATACAATGCAGCTTTCAAACCGTTTGCCAATAGCTGTCGAATGGGCCTCAAGACTTGGCAAAAGGTGGTGGAGCACATCGATGCTCAGAAGCCACCACCACCCGTGGTCGTCCCTGTCATAGCTTCCGACAATGATACCCCATCGGATGTTACTCCAGTTGCGCCATCAAGGCTGACAAGAGACCATTCTGCCCTCATCTCGCCGCGCCATACCCTCACCCGAATTCCGCAGGTGTCGTTTGCCACCTACGAAACGCCTACCACGACTTCGCCTATCTCGTCCCTGCCTCTCCAATCGTCTTCCCAACTAAAGCTACCTAGACGTTCTCCTCCACTTGACCGTAAAGCAGTCGATCAAGATCTTGATGAAGACTCTCGTCACCAATCATATCCGACTGACGATCATCTTACTCCGAAGCCCGCCCAGCGCGGGTGGTGGTCATCATCCCCCTCGCCGCCCTTCACACCTAATTACAACGAGTCGGCGCCTTGCACACATCCGCAACCCATTCTCCGCCACAAACTTCCCCCTGTGTGGTCTGATTCCGCTTCCTCTTCTCCCAAGTCCTCATCGGGATCATCTCTTCCGTCCTCATCGCATCATCTCACAAGCGGCTGCCTTGCACCATTAACTCAATCGACAAAGTCAGATCGTGACGGTGAAGATGTAAGCATGGAGACATCCTCTGCAAACATGATGATGGGCTCAGCACGCTCGAGACGGCTGTTGACCATCACTGTACCAGCCGCACCTGAAGCATCTAACAATAGTTTAGCGGGGCCTACCTCGCGTTCTTCCAGTCAAGGTGTCACTAATAGTAACCGGAAGGTCCCGTCAGCCACCGATGACTCATCGTTCAGTTCAATAGGCTCGCCATCGTCTCCTTCACAATCCCCTTACTTTACGCCTGGTGTCTCATCTGCCTCTAGCGTTGAATCGTCGAACGACGGAGGGGCCCCTCCTGTAGTGACCCTGAACACGGACTTGAGCCGAGGACCGCCTACTGCTCCACTTCGCCAGCCGCCTTCAGGATTAGGGTTGCGCATCAGTGACCGAATCATGCGATCACGAGATAAAGGCATGTCAGTGGATTTTGGCTTAGCTGAACGTCGAAGTCTCACCAGATCATCATTGTCCCAGAAGAAGAAGAGCTACAGCCCATATCTTGTGAGTCAGCAAGTAGCGTGTGAGAAAGGATGTGGAAAGGTCACCGCCAAGTGCGTGAGGTGTGGCGCGGCATCGAAGACGAAAATGCAGCGCAGTCAAAGTCTCGCCAAGCCCTTTCTATTCACTTCATCGAGATCGCCACCGCAAAAACAAGTTCAGGACTCGATACAAGAACATGACGGATCAAGAGATGCCCGACGCCTGCCTCCCATGGCTAAGCTAATGATCGAGCCGAACCGAGCACCAGTCGACGCCTCCAGTTGGCCGCCCTATCCTTTCCGCCCAACACAATCGCCTCTTTGAATTTGAGGCTTCCTCCCTCACATGCCACCCTGATTCCGAGACGGTGTGACCTGTATGAAATCTGTATTTTACCATCTCACTTTTTTGTGAGATTGGCTTTGTGTTCAAATTTGTTTTTCTTCCAATCTCTCTTGATCAAACCTTTTTGCTTTTTTTTGGGTCAGCTGATTCCTGTTAAAATTTACCTGTCATGAGTTCTTTTTGACGTTTTATCCTATTGAGTAATCACTCTGCGGTTTCATTTTATTTTCTTTTTTGGGTTTTTTGTTTCTTCTTCAATTTCACAATTGATGATGTGGTATAGCTTGTGTGGGGTATGTTTTCATATATAAAGTTTATCTATACGTATACGTCTTGATGGTAAAAGTCGCACCTTTTTGTGAACATCGATTCATTGACTCGTTTTGAGCTAGAGGTTGAAGAAAATTTATGTGTCCGCTTGATGACTCCAAATATTATGAAACCCTTTCATGGTGAAATTGAGTGGTGGGAGCCAGATAAGTATCATGAAAGAGTGAGATATAAGCTCGAGAGCATTGACAGAAATCCACTGTTTCCATCAATGACTACATTCTTGTAATCAAGTTGCTCGATTTGTAATATGGATAAGAACCTACCTCCATTGTGGAGAAGGTTGGTTGGCACACAATAAGGAACAATGGACGTCAGCAAATAAATGATTACCTGACCTTGAACTAAATCTTGATTTGTTTTTCTTCCTCGCTGAAAAAAGTAACTCCAACGAGGCAACTTGACTGGTTTCTCATCATTTGTCATGCATGTTCTCGATCCCCTTCTCAATACTTAAAGGCTTACATTACTTGAAGTTTTGTTTATATGAAGTTTTGAGTGCTTTGTCGCTTTAAACCTGAATGCAACTTCTGTTTCTATCCTTGATTTTATGAAAAGAAATATGAAAAAAATGTTTCAAGTGGACATGTCATGAATCTAGCTTCACAGTGATTGGTATACGCATAAGACAAAGACAGGAATGTGACCGGCCTTCCAAGAGTGCATGCTCAGTTGATGATTGTCTGTGCAATTGTATGCTCGAGTCTTGGTATCATCAAAAGTGCTTTTTGTAGAAAGGTTTGATAATTTCACCGCCATATAGTACAATCAGAATTTTTATACAGATTGGAACACCGGAAAGTTTCTCGTACATGCAGGGCATATTGGCTGACTCAGGTGATGCAGATTATTCCTCAATACCAATCTGAATGTAGGATAAGAATTGTTCAAAGAAATCCTTTGCTTTCTAAGGATCTCTTTTTTCCTAGAGACCTGCTTTGAAATATCTATTGCTACTGAAATCATTTTGTGGTTCCCTCGAGTGGCACACCGAATCGTCATTTTGGCATAAAAGGTATTGTGGGGTGCTTATGACTCAATTTTGTCGAAATACAATCAAGACTGAGGACAGGTTAGAGAAGTTGTGTTTGCGTGTTTGTGGTAAAACGTATTATATATTAATGTAGTAACGTCTCAGATTATCTAGTCTAATATTGTATGCTGAACATCAATCCCAAAGAGATCTTAACGTACATCATTCCCAACAAATTTGTTTTTCTCTTTTATCGTTGAGATATATGTACTCTGCTCTGGTGTGTTTTCGCTCTCTTTCCTTATCTTTCGGAAAGAGAGTAAGTCCATCCATATCCTTTATACACAACGACTAAACTAATACCTTACTATTGTTAGAAACCGTTTAGATCACTTGTCACGAGCCTTTGCTCATTATTATCTTTTCTCACTTTCACTATCATTCCTCCTTTACTAGGTTAGTACCTTAGGTCTGCATACCTATAGGTTTGGAGAAGAAGTGCTTACGAGCGCACTTATATATTCAGTTGTAGAGGTCTTCTTAGACATTTACATGGTAGCGAGAGATTCTAGTTCGATCAGTTAAATCCTTTGAATGAACGAAGAAGATCCTGTACCAAGTGATCAACTAAACACCAATTCTCCAACTAACTCACCATCACCATCATCATCTGTTGCACCAGACGATCAAGATTTTCAGTCTGTTTCAGAAATCGACTCAACCGGGGAACAAACTTTTCTACTCGAGAGTTTATTTCCAAACATGACGTCAACTTCAATCCCACCTACCACCACCATAACTACAACTACTCCGTCTAACCTCTTTGGCGGCAGAGACCATCAAATCGCGGCTTCTGTTGTTAATATCTTATCCAAAGTATTAGTATCAGAAAATTTAAATGATAATAATTACTTAACTTGGTCAATGGACATCAGAAATGGAATTAAATCTTTAAGATTCCAACCTTTTCTCCTATCTGACAAAGATGAAGCGGGTATAAACAATGATACCATTTTATATAATGAAGTTGTTCGCGAATGTCTTATGACATGGATGATATCAAAGATGGATGATACCAACAAGGCCAGATTTAAACCAATGATGGCCATCGAAACTGAACTTGGTCCAGATGTATCACCAACGCCAAGTTCTCTATGGGTTAAAGTTAGAGATCATCATTCTCCTCGAACTTCTGCTCATCAGATGTTACTTCGTCGGTCATTGTTCAATTTAGTTCAAGGTGATAACTCTCTTCCCATGCACATGGATGAATATCATAAGGCATATCTAGCTTATATCAACTCAGGTGGAACGATCGGTACTGTGGAATTAGGACAACAGTTATTGATGTCACTAAACTCAGATTGGATGAAGGTGGCCGAAGATATAGCCGACAACAACACGTTCGAATATGCGTCTGTAGTCACTGCTTTGAAAGTCAGAGTTGCTAATCGGGCAATGCTTCGGGCTCCTTGTCCAGCAACAATCATTGAAGCTAGTGCAGCGAGTCCAATGCGAAAACAATCGAAATTCGTTCAAACTAGATGTTCCCCAAGCAAATGTGTCTCATTATCTCATACTTCAGCTGATTGTCTTCGAAACCCTAAGAACATCGATAAATATAACGCTTGGGTTGAATCAAAGAAGGCGAAGGGAGAATGGGTAGAACATGGTCCTCCTGCATCAAATTCAAATTCTGTTAATCCTGTCCATCCATCATCTTCATTAGCGACAAACCCTTCATCTATTCCGTCTTTATCTTCCCTTCAAGAAGCATTGGATAGGTCCGAGTTTTCGGCAAGTGCAAGTGCAGTTTTCATTGTAGATCAAGATGCGGAAATTGAAAATGAACATTTCGGCATTGTTGATAGCGGCACGACCCACCATATGTTCAAATCCGAGAAAGATTTTGATGTGAATCACTTTGTATCAACTACTTCTGATCAAAGAGTAGGATTAGCAGGTGGATCGAGCACACTGGAAATTAAAGGACGAGGATCCGTTACTCTCATGGGCCCGACTGGTGACCTTACTACTCTTAATGATTGCCTCTTTGTTCCTTCTCTTAAACAAAATTTAATAGCAGGAGGTAGATTACTACATGATGGGTGGATAACTGTTCTCAAGCCAAACAATTCTTTTATCATTCAACGTGAAGGAAAGGTCGCCATGTCCGGACGGGTTCATCCTGTCACAATGTTACTACACCTCAACTCCGTGCGTAATCCTACATCTACAAACATTCCAAGTGCTGCAGCAACATCCGATCCAATCACTGAATCATTGCAACTTTTACATCACAAATTAGGTCACCCGAATTTTACGTATCTGAAGCAAATGATAAAAGGAGAAGTTGTGTTGGGGTTACCGTTGTCATTATCAAAAGTTTTGTTGCCTTCCACTCTACCTTGCAATTCATGTGATCTTTCCAAAGCACATTGTCAACCGCATTCAGAAACGCATACCAGATCAATCCATCCATTAGATAACGTGCATATTGACTTAAGCGGCATAATGTGAACGCCTGCTATATGTAAAAGCTTATATTTCATCTTATTTACCGACGATCACACTTCATACCGTCACATCACTGGCCTAAAATCAAAAGAGAAAGAAGAAGTTTATAATGCAATTCATACTTATCTATCTCTTGTTGAGCGTCAGTGTGATCGAAGAATCAAGAGCCTTACACTTGATGGTGGAGGAGAATTCCTAAATGATGTTCTTTTACCCTATTGTGCAAAGGAGGGCATCTACTTACGAGTTACCGCTGCATATACCCCAGAAGAGAATGGAGTTGCAGAGCGATCGATGCAAACCATTGTATCGAAAGGTAGATCAATGCTTATCCAAGCTAACTTACCAATCCGTTTCTGGTTAGAGTCAGTAAAGAATGTAGTCTTTCTGACAAACCGAACAACAACAACTAGCCTGCCAAAGAACAAAACTCCATATGAACTTTGGTATGGTCGACGACCTGACATATCTCACATCAAAGCTTTCGGATGCCTCACCTATGTATTGATTCGAAAACCGGATAGAGTGAACAAGTATAGCCCAACTTCAGATCAGGGTATACTAGTTGGTCATACAGAAAACAACCGCAATTACAAAGTTTTCATGCTTAAAGATTCTAAAATTGACATCACCCATGATGCATCTTTTCGCGAGGATGTTTACCCATTTACCCGTCTCCCTGTTTTTGATATTTCTCATCTAACGACTGAAGAAGAAGAAATTACACACTTGCCCTTGCCAACCATTCCTTCGATTGCTTCTGAAGACGATGATCCTCAGCAACTCTTGACGATTCATCAAGAAGAAATTATTCCAACACCACCAAATGAAGAAGTCTTGCCTATGGTCCCTCCTCCTCAACCAGCATTGCCTCGTCGAACGACACGGGAAATTAGACCTGTTGAACGATACGTACCTCATTCAAGTATTGTGCCTCAGGCGGGGATGACCTTTTGGGAGGAAGACTGTACCATTCAAAGCGGTGATGTATGTGCGTATGCTTTTGCGGTAGAATCTACTGTAAGGTTAATTGCTGAGCCTGCAAGTTACAAACAAGCTATGAAGAGTCCTAACCATGAAGAGTGGAAGAAAGCTTGCGATAAAGAAATTGGTAATATGAATAGGCAAGGTGTTTGGAAACTTGTTGATCGACCTAAAGATGCTCCAATTGTGGGTTCTCGATGGCATTTTAAAGTCAAATGTCATCCTGATGGATCTATTATAAAGCACAAGTCTCGGATCGTGGCCAAAGGCTATACTCAAACCTTTGGTGTCGACTACGATCAAACATATGCACCAACTGGAAAGCCAGCATCTTATCGTATCGTGATAGCAATTGCCACGAAAAATGGTTGGAGAGTACATGGTATGGATGCTGTAGCCGCTTTCTTAAATTCAGGACTCAAAGAACTCGTGTTTATGGAACAGCCAGAAGGATACATCAAACCAGGAGATGAAGAGAAAGTGTGTTTACTCCTTCAGGCGCTCTATGGACTCAAGCAGTCGGCTCATGAGTGGAATGAAGAATTCAAATCAAAAATTATCAAGGCAGGGTTTGTTCAAGCACGTGGTGATGAGTGTGTATTTATCAGGTGGAGATCAAAAGAAGACATTGTTATTTTCTATCTTCACGTTGATGACATGGCAATAACCGGACCTATTGAATGTATTCTCAATTTCAAGAAAGAAATGATGACTTTCTGGGAAATGGACGATTTAGGTGAAGTCTCTTGTGTAGTTGGAATCGAAACTCTACGAATATCATCACATCACTATGCCCTTCATCAACGATCTATGACCGAATCACTTCTGCTACGTTTCAACATGGCCGACTGCAAACCTGCGTCCACTCCGGTGCAGGGTGGTGTAAAATTATTAACGTCAACTGAGGAAGAATCATCAGAATTTGCAAAATTGAACTACCCTTATCGATCAGGAGTAGGTAGTTTAATGTACATTTCGCAGTGCACTCGTCCAGACATCTCTTACGCCGTCGGAGTCTTGTCACAGCATTTAGACAATCCGTCTCATCGTCACTGGGATGCGTTTCGTCATGTCTTGAGATACTTACGTGGCACAATTAATCTTGGCATACATTATCAATTTGAAGACAATAAAATTTTTCGAATGAAATCATCTTGGAACATACCTTTTACCAATGTTGATTCGGATTGGGCCGGTTGCAAGAATTCAAGAAGATCAACCACTGGATATCTCACAACTCTTTTCGGTGGTGCCATCTCCTGGCGTTCAAGATTGCAGCAAACGGTAGCTTTGTCATCGACAGAAGCAGAATATCGGGCAACAACCGAGGCAGGTCAAGAGGTTGCTTGGTTACGACTTTTGCTGAAGGATGTTGGTTTTGAGTGGGATGGTCCTGTTGAGATAAACTGCGATAACTTAGGAGCCATCGACTTGTCATCAAATGCAGTTCATCACGGTAGAACGAAGCATATAGATATTGAGCACCATTGGATACGAGAGCAAGTTAAAGAAAAGAACATCATCTTAAATTATTGTAAATCATCAGAAATGACGGCGGATTTATTGACCAAGCCGTTGCATCCAGGTCCATTCTGGGAACACATGAAAAGTGTTGGTTTGAAAAGGTGTGTTTAGAGTGTGTCTTGATTGAGGGGGTGTGTCGAAATACAATCAAGACTGAGGACAGGTTAGAGAAGTTGTGTTTGCGTGTTTGTGGTAAAACGTATTATATATTAATGTAGTAACGTCTCAGATTATCTAGTCTGATATTGTATGCTGAACATCAATCCCAAAGAGATCTTAACGTACATCATTCCCAACAAATTTGTTTTTCTCTTTTATCGTTGAGATATATGTACTCTGCTCTGGTGTGTTTTCGCTCTCTTTCCTTATCTTTCGGAAAGAGAGTAAGTCCATCCATATCCTTTATACACAACGACTAAACTAATACCTTACTATTGTTAGAAACCGTTTAGATCACTTGTCACGAGCCTTTGCTCATTATTATCTTTTCTCACTTTCACTATCATTCCTCCTTTACTAGGTTAGTACCTTAGGTCTGCATACCTATAGGTTTGGAGAAGAAGTGCTTACGAGCTCACTTATATATTCAGGTTAGTACCTTAGGTCTGCATACCTATAGGTTGGGAGAAGAAGTGCTTACGAGCGCACTTATATATTCAGTTGTAGAGGTCTTCTTAGACATTTACAAATTTAACTATATAGTGGGAAAAAAGCTTTGTGTCGTACGTGTAATGGATATTTACAAGTTCAATGAAAGAAAAAAATGTGAGAAAGTTTATAGGGGTTTTTGAAAATTAAGCTTGTCAAACATTGACAAATTGAATAGTCCTTGTTTGTCGAAAAAGAAATCAATGATAGACCTGCTGACTGAACGTCTGAGATAGCCAAAACCTAAATCCAAGGAATCCATCCTGCAAAGTTTCATCGCTTATAGTGGCAAGCCTCCAGTTTTCTTACAGGCTTCGGCAGTTGTCTCGCCCTTCTTGTGAATTTCATGGCTGATGTCTATTTCAGAAACGAAATATGCAAAGAGACTTCGGTCAATGACTCAATTTCTAATCAGAGTCAAATTAAGATCCTCACCTGCTCGGTTAGTAAAGCACACTGGTAAATTGAACACGCAGTCAGATGTCACATCCTTGGGGAAAGACCTATTCAGAATCAAGCGAATGGGTCAGTCTATCGTGGCTGACATGACAGCATGATTGAAGTGCAAGAGGTTGGAAAGGATCGCAGTGAATAGGATGACAAACCCGTTGGTGTAAGGATTGAAACTAAACCCGCCATGCTTTTCCTGGCATTTCTTAGACACTTGTGTGATGAGCTCAGTGCTGTAACCATATTCTTCTGAAATAACGTTGGCATTCGGTAGATTGTTGCCAGATTTCCCACCAGGCAGATATCGGATAATGTTATACATTCTGTGTAAAGGGAAACAATTGTTAAGAGGAGGCGGACGATCGACAAATTCAGTACAGAGACTCACGTTCCACCAGGCTTATCACAGTACGAAAGTACATCGTTTTGAGGCCATGCTCCATTTCGGCCTTTATCCGTGCAACCCTGTAAGTAAAAAACTCTTCAGTGCTTGTCGCGATAGAAGAAAGTCTCTTGCAAAAGAATTGTACTCACATCGCTACCAACAGTCACGAAAGCATTCTTCAATGGAAATGGATCAGCTCGAGTTGATCGGACATAGACAATGAGCACGACTCACCAAAGAGTGAAATATCATATTAAGACTGAGTGCAAGAGTCACATTGCGAATGTTATCCTCAATTTCTGGAATGGTGAGTAGAGTGGTCGGGCTCAGGAATTGACCACCCTTCATCGTGCCATATAGTCCATCATCACTACTGATGGGGGCATTAATAAACTTTTTGGCCGCATTTGCCAAGGTGTCGTGTGCTAATTCTTCATACTTGGATATAAAATAAGCCGTAGAAGACCACTGGAGAATTTTCAAATGATCAATTACCGAGTCGAGCAGGGAGATCAAAAGAATGATTACTCACAGCCCCGTATCCATCTTGAATTGGGCCACTAGGTACCTTTATGGCAAATGCTGTGATACCCATGGCAGCAGCAATCATGAAGTTCAAAACGTTGAAGGCCCATCCGATTGGACCCATGGCCGACCCAAATAAGACCATGACGTCCATGATAACTGTCGTACAACGTAAGGCGGGTCAGCGGAGCTCATGAAGCCCAAGAAAGGTCGCAAAGAGCTACGCTTAGACGCGCGTACACACCTGTTCCCATGACTTCAGTCAAACCAGCATTTATAGCGAAATTTTCCTTGAATGCCTTTGCTGGGCTTTGATCTACCGCGGGGAAGCTAATACAAACCGAATGGATAAGTAGATGGCGATGAAATTGACAAGTTGTTCACAATGACAACTCGAGGTAATCTTACATTGAGGCCAGGAGAGCACTGATGCTGGCTGTTCCGGCAAAAGGTGATAGTTTTCTTATCAATGGTACGTCACAATTGTGATTGAGATTCAGAAAAGCTTGAAAAACACTGACATTGGACCATGGACATTGCGTAACCGACAGCGAGATAAAAGTTGTTCATGTATGTGTTCCATGCCTGTACAGCAAACAGCACATACCAGTCTACACCGCCAAGAGGAAAACATGGTTGGCCAATGTAACACTTCTCACCAATACCGCAGACGAAGTTGGATGCATTTTTTGCCGTTGCGTAATCCTGTGTAGAGCAGTAGGATTGTTCTTTCGTCAATGAGAGTCAAGATAATCAAATCAAAGCGGAGATAGACAGACGATCAGCTTCAACGTCTTTCCTCCGGGGTAATTTTTGAGGTAATCATCTATCTTTAACTGTTTCCATGTGTCTGGCGTAAGCGGTAGGACTGTGCAATTTCCATGGGTCGCTGAAAGTTTAGGTTTCCCAGGATCAGTGGGCAGGGGCGAAGTTTTGTTCGCGCTGGGCGGCGGTGTGAGTGTTGAACTGTTTGCTTTATCTCCTGACTTGGGTTCTGGGGAAGGCTTGATGAAGGAGGGCGGTGGGACCGGGATGCCAAGGACGCTAGTAGATGTCTTAGTGGAGGGTGGAAGACTGTCGGATTTGTTAGTGGGAGGAGCCGCGGGAAGAGGGGGCTTTGTATCTGTTTTGTTAGCAGGGCCAGTTGAGGTATTATTGGGAGTGACTTGGTTCGTAGGACCGGATTGCTGTAAAGTGAAGGCAGATGCCGATTGAGTGTAAGTGAAGATACACAAAGCGTAGAGGCAAGTCGAAAGTGATCGCATGTTAAAAAAGGTGAATTGCGAATCAGTAAGGTTTTAAAAATCGAAACAAATATGAACAGGGTAACAATAGGAAAGGAAGGAGAAGATGATGAATCTGATGATGATCTGGATGGCGACTTCAAGATAGGTTCTCTCCTTACCCTCAAAGCAACTTGACGACGAAACAGAGATCCATACCATTTAGATTCCATCTGGTGACTTCCATGAATTTCAATCCACCATCTTCGTAACCATCTTTCTGTGATCAAAACCCACGCTACTCCAAGCTAGGTTTCTATTAATCATTGCGGTGGTGCTCAATAGGGACTGGGCGAGGTTTCGACCGACAGAGGATTTAGCCACCTCAATAAGCGCATGAATCCCCTGGAAGTCGACCGAAGCGATTTATGCAAACAGGAGGTGTCAGGATTACTCCTACAAGCCCAAGAGACCCGACTGTCAGATGATTTCACCAAAACCAGAGCGAGAGCAACCTGTGAAAGGTATATCAGGCTATCCAGAAGCGTTCTGCCATAGGCTTTTGGCTGAGGTGGGGGGGGAAATTTTGAATAGACAGCTCGTCTTAGGGAGGGTCATGCCTGTGCGCCACCCTATTTTTTTTAGTGCCATAAAGCTTACTAAAAAAAATAAGGAAATTTCATATTGATTGAACAGTGGCTTAGCTGTTTGCAACTCGCTTTCAACTACGGTTGAATTGCAATTTTGCAGAGCTTCGCCCAGTCCCTAATGTAAGGGTCGAGTCGGTATGGCAAAATGTTGATTGAAGAAAGCCAAAGATGTGGGTTTGAAGGGAAGTGTTGGTTGAGGCGCGGCTAAAGACAACTTCATGAAGATACGTCATATCTCTGGATTCATGCGGCGAAACTGACCTGTCACTTGAGTGTTGATAGTCAAAATTCATGATGTGAAAGAGATGTGAAAGGCTTAGTGAAAGCTCAATTGATTATGTGTATGAGCCGTGAAGGAGATCAAATTTTTTGACCAATTTATGAATTTTTTTACTTTGAAGACCTTCAATCGAGTCAAATTCATTCCATTCAGCTCATCAACTTGGATTTCTCTAACCTATAAACCTCTTCATCGTCATAGTCTTCCGCCTCACCTTTTCTTCAATAGACACATGTCGACCTCCGGGACTTCGAAAACCACCTCCGACCTACCCCTCTTCGCGTCTTTGTCACCTCTACCAATCCTTGATGGTTCAGAACCAGGTCGAATTGCTTTGGATGCATTTCGAACTGCAGTAGCCGTTCAAGTGGCTGGAATTCTAGGACTTCCAACTTCATCACCAGGTGAATTAGAAAAGATTTGGGCTGGTGTCGAATCAGGAAAGAAAGAAGGAGGTGATCTCACTGTAGCTGTACCAAGGTTCAGGTTGAAAGGCGACCCAAAGGCATTTGCCCTCAAAGTACAAGAAGAGGTTCGCACGTCTTTTACTAAACGCCCTTTTTCAAGTCAACAATTGCTCAATTCCAATCCCGATCGGTTCTATAGTTTGTTCCCAATGAATGGATCGAATCCGCCAAAGCCAATGGATCTTTTATCAATTTTCAAATCCGTTCCAAAACCCTTGCAAAAGTCGTCCTATCTCAAATCAACGATCTTACTCATATCTCAAAATCTTCATATGGTTCCAATACCTCAGGTTACGATTCTACATTGGGTCGTAAAAAGAAGTTGATCTTAGAATTCTCAAGTCCCAACATTGCTAAAAAGTTTCATGCTGGTCATCTTCGTAGTACTATCATTGGTGCTTTCCTCGGTAATCTACACGAAGCAAATGGTTGGGATGTTACTAGGATCAATTATCTTGGCGACTGGGGTCGTCAATTTGGTTAGTATATGTCGATCACTCAGTGTCAAAAATTTATAACTCACTCATCATGTACGACGGTCTCTGCCAAAATTAGGGGTCTTGGCGGTTGGTTTTGAGCGATATGGATCAGAGAATGAGCTTACTGAACAACCGATTCAACACTTACTGGATGTCTACACTCGAATCAATCGTGACATGGAAGGTGGCGAGAAGGAAGCACTGGAACAAAAAGCTCGAGACTTTTTCAAACTCATGGAAGATGGCGATTCTACTGCAGTTGCGCTTTGGAAACGGTTTAGGGACTACAGTATCAAACAATACGAAGCTGATTACGCGAGATTGAACATCAAATTTGATGTCTATAGTGGTGAAAGTCAGGTCTCAATAGAAAGTATGGATTCAGCATTAGAGATCTTGAAACAGAAAGGCATAGCCATCGAAGACAATGGTACCTTGATTTGTGATTTGGATAAATATAAGCTTGGCCGGACTGTTATTAGGAAGAATGATGGTACCAATCTTTATATCACTCGTGATATTGGAGCAGCTATTCAACGTTATGAACAGTACAAGTTTGATAAGATGATCTACGTCGTAGCTTCTCAACAGGACCTGCATCTTGCACAATTCTTCAAAGTACTCGAGCTCATGGAGTTTGAATGGGCAAAGCGATTGGTTCACATTAACTTTGGAATGGTAGCTGGTATGAGTACTCGAAAGGGAACTAGCGTTCATCTCGAGGATATGATGAACGAAGCTCGGAATACTATGCATGAACAGATGTTAAAGAATGAAGACAAATACAAGGAGATTCCTGATCCGATGGGCACTGCAGACGAGGTAGGTCTCAGTGGAATCAAAATTCAGGACATGGCTGGCAAACGGTGAGCTTTCAGGTATCTTGAAAATTTTACACCGTCAACATAGGCTGATCCATTGGTTGTTGTAGTATCAACGGATACGAGTTCAAGTGGGATCGTGTCTTATCATTCGAAGGTGACACGGGTCCTTATCTTCAATGTGAGTCATAATCTTGTGCAAAACAATCGACTATGTCTGTGACTAATGTACTTCATTCGGTCATCATAGATGCCCATGTCAGGTTATGTTCAGTAGAGCGAAAGGCTGGACCTGCTCATGTTCTCCCTCAACCAGATCAACTTGCCACCACCATCAATACCGATCTCATCTGCGAAGACCCTAAAGCCCGTGACTTATTGATGTTACTTGCCTGTTACCCGGATGCCGTCAAACTAGCATTCCTAAAACTTGAACCATCATCAATCGTCACTTATTGTTGGAAATTAACACATGCAGTCAGTAGTGCATGGGAAACTTTGATTGTCAGAGGTCAAACTCCCGAGATGGCTTTGGCTCGACTTTGGGTTTTTCGAGCTTGTAAGGATGTGCTAGCTAGTGCGATGAAGTTGTTGACTTTGAACCCATTGGAACGGATGTAAAAAATACCATTTGAAATAAAAGTTTATATTCGCTATCACAATGAGTGGAAGGCTCTGTGGCCAGATGCGCAGTGAGCCCTATTTCACGTGCCCCAGAGATGAAGGTAGCTCTGCTTGACGAAGTTCCACTGTGCCGTAGAGCCAAGACTTCTTTTTCAAAGAAAAATGTGGAAACAAACACATCACACTTGCAAGCAAATGCCTGACTCTTTTACAGTGGTGGATGTGCGCCTACAAACATAATGGTCCACACTCTAGAGCCCGCCCACTCAATGACACTGACGGGGCCTGCGCTGGCCAGAGATGTCACATGAGCTGAAACTCTTGATGGACACCGAATCCGAACTTCTGCAGGTGATGCTGAGTTTATTTCACCTTGCAAAAGTTTCATTCCATCACTTTCAGTTTTACATGACGAGCTTTAAAATCATCAACTTCATCAACTTCAATCAACATGTCCTGGCCAGAAGCGATCCAACAAGCCCTCGAACGACGTGATGCTCAGGAGAAAGCCTATAGTCGGATCATTGAGCATTGCGAGCCATTCGCTCTCTTTCTTCCGCTTCCACAAACCTATCAATTTGTTTCTTTTTGTTTCTTTGTGATGGTCTTTATTATTTGAAACTCATTCAAGTTTAATCATCTTGATTATCTTCGGTCATCTTAGACCGTAGGCTAGCACAACAAACTACAATTCTTAAGGAACGGAATGCGTCTCTACTTAAAGCTTCGACTTCAGTTAGTGGTAATGGTGGTGGCCCAAATGGACGTAATCAAACTGGAGAGTAAGTTTCATTATCTGATCTTCAACCATTTTCTTATGTCTCAACACTGACTCTACAAAATTCTGATCATCAAAACAATCCTTTATTCTGCTTAGTATTTCTGTCGCTCGTGCCTACACTGCCTCACTCGAAGCACAACTTGCGACACTACGAGACGAAATGACTGGAATGTATAAAACCCAAAGTCAGAATGCCCAACGATTATTAGTGATGAATGAAACCTTACGTGAACGTGATGAAAGATCAAGAGCTGAAGAAGAAGAATTAAGATTAGTTCGTACAGAAGTAGCAAGGTTAAGGGAAAGAGTGGCTAATCATGCAGAAGCCATGAAAGAAAAAGATCGACAGATTCAAGTGAGTGGAAAACGACAAAAAGAAATCATCGAATTTTCTAGTTTCACTTGGGTTCTTGATCTCCTGACAAATCTATCAACAGAGTGTACTCGATGAGCTGGCTACCCTTCAACTCGAACATTCTGTCCTACAAGAAACAAATACAAAGCTACGTCAAGATAATGCAGGATTAGTACAGCGGTTCGTTCTAATGCCTCATCTTTCTTAACTCCATGTGTTACATGCTTGGGTACGATCGGACAATCTTACTCAAATTGAATTATGTTTTTCACAGGTGGCTTGATCAACGACTGGCAGAGGCCACACGTATGAACGATGCCAATCAGTTTCTACTCGATGCTGAGAAGAAAGGCTTACCCTCACATGAACCTAATCCATCAAGTGATCAACCTAATCCACCTGATCCATGATCTTCGATCCTTCTCTGTCTTCGATCTCGATCCTTCTCGTAATGTATGCCTAGCCTGGTCTCTTTTGCATACATATCATTGATGTCACTTGACATCACTTCGTTTTGAAATTGGAACACATCGAATAATGTTCTGTTGTATAGTCTTTATATATCGTTCATGGGTTTCTTGTTTAATCAACTCAGAAATTACTTACTCTACCTTTATCTTTTTTAAAGCTCACTAATGTACGGTTTAGTCTATGATCAACTCATCATTTCATCAGTTTTCATAACTGGAATTTTTCAGAAAGGACTACTCAAACTTCCGTACATTCTTGGTTTACCAGAGTCTACTAAGATTGGATGTTCAGCAAATACCAACTCTGATGAAAGACGCTAAAGATCACAACTCTTCCATCAATCCACAGCTCTACCAGATTGGGTTTATGCCACATTGTTCAACAAAAGACCTCATAATCCTACGGGCACATGAATCACTTGATCTACTCAAATCTTAAAGAGAATGAAAGTGGATCTGTGTCACTAATTTGAGGAGATGAAGAGTAGTGTTTTCTCTCACGGTTGAAGATGGCTTACTCATACAAGTATGTGGTACATCATTACAAGTTTACAAGATTTCGATTATTTACCTCGATGCTCAGCAAAAGTTTCCTTGATACTTCTTCCTGCCTTTAGGTCAGCCATACACTTCTTATCAATCTCAACATTCTTTGTACAGTCTTTGATAACTTGTTCAACCATTCCTTTGGGTACTACTACCACACCATCTTCATCACCTACAATGATATCATAAGGCTCAATGGTCACAGGTGCAAGACGTTGAGCTTTGGAGTCTTGGGGTATACCTTCATCTAAGGGATGTATAGTGATCGGTTCTTGAAGTACTGAAGGACGAGTAAACGTAGCTTGCCCTAGAACAGAATGTGATCTTGCAAAAACCTAATCAAAAAATACCTTGATCAGACAGATATTTCAATTTTAATATGGTTAAGAAAGAAGCAATCCTCACTGGAAATCCAACTTCACGATGTTCAGCCAAATCACGACATCTACCATCGATCACTACACCTTTGACACCACGAAACTGGGCTCTTGTAGTCATCAAACCTCCCCACACTGCGTTCTTGGTATCTGAAATGGATCATTAAAGTGATGATCATGAGGAAGGATACAAACAATTGACAGTGTGTTGATGTGACTTACTGGGAGGAGATGAGATCACTATCACTGTACCTGGTTCAGCAGCGTCTACCTACAATATACAAAAAGGTATCAATTAGATCAAGATGATCAGATGTGAAGGGTTGTAAGAACTCAAATCTTACATAGTGTTCCTTAGGACGTCTTGCTTGAGAATCACTAACATGAACAATCTAGTGATGTATGCAAAACCAAGAATAAATCAATAATCGTGAAATGGAGATATAATACGTAGAGAATATCCACCTGGACTGTAAAAGCTTCACCACATAATTTTAAAGGAGATTCTGATTTTGAATCAGGTGAGTAAAGATTGAGATCAGGTAAATAACCACCATGTGGAGAATGTAAAGCTACAAGCGCATCAGCTATCTAGCCATTTCCCAGAATTGTTGTATTATGGAATCAGCTGAAGAGTATAAGATTGAATGTGATTGAGAGTGAGGTAAGTTGATATGAATCAAGTGATGTACCTCACAAGTTGAAAAAGTTCCAATAGATGAAATCAAATCAACTGAAGTCCTTTCTTGAGAAGTGCTCATTGTATTTATTTGAAGATAGTTAGAGTGTTTTTCAAGACTTGATCTTTTGTGATCATGAAGCACTTTTGGCTGAGCAGGATATACTCGAAGTTGAGTTGAATTTAAGTGTTAAAATTTAAAATCAAAACTGGATTTGTACTTTGATTGGATTGGGGTAAAGAAAGCTTGACTTGAAGGTTTGATGATGATGAGTCAGAGTGACTCTGATCGATGGCTACTGCCTTGGACACTTATCTTAATGATCCATCTTTAGAAATCAATTATCACTATTATCATCATCATCATCAGTAAGTATTCTTCATTATTATCTTAGAATCCAATTTGAATACTGATGAAGAACCACTTCTGCTTATAGTCAAGTTAATATGAATCAACAAAATACCAAAACTTCAACTCCAATTCAAACTATACTCTCTTTACCTCCATCTATCTTATCTTTCTTAGTTCGATCTCAACCTATCATCAATTCAATAGCTTCACTCTCTCTCATCATACGATGGTCTCATCCAACTGGTCATTATCCATCCTGGCTTCTACTCTTCTCTTGGTCATTCTTCTGTCTATCATCTGAATATTTAATCAACTATGTTGGATTCAATTTGATCTTAACTTTAACTTTAACCTTCACTTGGTTAAAAGCTATCAATCCAAATCAATCAATTCAAACTACTACAAATCAAGACCAATCAATCACACCACCTCAAACTAATCCTACAGCTTTGATTAACACTCTCGATTCATTTCAAGTCATTGTAGATCATGCTCATTTACTCTCGATCACTATCATTCAACCCATCCAATCCATCTTGAATTGGTCAGATTATCAACAATCAAAAACATGTTTATACGCTTCTTTAACTTCAATACCGTTCACCTTACTCTTAACAAGATGCTTAGGAATCCAAAACTTATTCTTAATTATGGGTTCAATCCTAATTCTTTGGTCTGCTCCTTGGTTTACTTTATTTAGAAAATTGATTTGGAGGTCTAGGATTTTAAGATCATTTTGTAGAGTTTGTTTAAGGATTTGTTTGTTTGGTGGGATTGGAGTTTGGGATGAAATTAAAAGAGGTGATCATCATGGTGATTCAATCAAGATTATTCCTTCTAGAAATTCGAATCCAAAACCAGATTCTGATGAGGTATGTTGGCTCCTTTTTCTCGTCCATTCACACTTTCTTTCTGACTGACTCTGTTCTGTTGTTTTTGATCTTCAGAATTATACAAACCATGATGATGGGTTTCAATCTGCTATGGTTAAGCATTCGCGAGACGAAGAGGATGATGAACATAAACAAGAAATCGAAGTCAGATTCACGATTTTTGAAAACCAACGTTGGTGGATGGGACTAGACGTACGTTTTATATTTCTCTTTTTGATATCCAGATGTCATACTCATACTAATCTTTTTGATTTTCAGTGGACCAACACCTTATTACCACACGAAAGACCGAATTGGACAGATTCAAGCCATACACCTGTACCAGGCCCCACAGATTTCAAGTTACCAAATCCGACGATCACTTCAAGTGGTAAAAAGATTCAATGGAAATGGCAAGATCGAGACTGGACGATTTCCAAAGCTTCACCAGGTCTGATCAACCCAGACACGACTACCAAACCACATCATCCACTCTCAAGTCCTCTTCGACTCTCCATGAAATCTATCTTGAATTCTTCTTCTCCTAATGATCTTAATGGACTTATGAATCGTTCAGAGACCCAGAAATCTCGTTCTGGATCACTTTCTTTTGGTCAACAAGCTGGCTCTGAACTTGAAAAGAATTTGAGAGAAGCCGTTGCTTCTTCTGGTCTATCGACCGAAGCAATGGTCGAAGGAGAAGATCCAAGTGTACCATGGGATGTAGATACAAACGGTAAGTAAACTACTACAAACTAATTGCTCCTATCAAACCCTAACTGATTTTTTCTTTGGATAGGCTGGCAATATGGGGATAATCATTGGGAGAAACTGAGTAGAAAGGCAGGGATTGGTAGGTATACAAGAAGAAGAGCTTGGGTAAGACGAGCAGTGATGGTTTCTACTGAAAACCATCAAGAATCAGAAGAAGAAGAAACCGAGATTGAGCGTGTTGAGAAGATGATCCCTAGTACGCCTAAGAATAAAGATGCTTTAAGAAGAAGATTGGTGAATACGAATTAATACTCCCATAGTCTTTGAAGATCTCTTCCTGCCCCGTATTATGTTTTGAATCTTAGTCTCGAAAAAAATCAGTTTAGCAATCATTTTGTTAGTATTTGTGAACTGTTCATAAGCCTATTTGATTATTATAAAGTACTCGATTGAATGTTTAATTCCTTCAAGCTGGTAGTTGTTGAGGTTTCATTGTATTTGTTTTGTATATGTGTAATATATTCGTCGTTAAGAAGACAGAAAAAAGTGATTTGAAAATCATTGAATGGGTAATCGTCTATATCATCAAATTCTAGCGTAAAATTAAGATTCAATAAGGTTTTTTGAAGCTCTTCGTGATGACATGTCTACTTTATGCTATGGTTCATAGTTGAACTGATTGCCCTACCTTAAACTCAGGTTTACTGGCAAAGTCACATTTTTTTACCAAAGGAATCATATCGGTTGTCCAATGAGCACCCATGAATGGTATGGGACCATTGAGGATCCAAGGACGCACAATACAAGGTTTTGACATCTCCTGAGATTAGATATTTCCATCTGAGATATTATTGATCGGCTCTTCTCCAACTTATCAATGTAATCCAATAGAATCCAATCACACCTCGAAATTGAATTGTAGTCAGCTTCGACTAAGCAGGACTAAGCCCATCGCCCAGTCCCGTCCGCACCCTCCAAAGATTCAAGAGTACTTACACAGTTCTTCCATGTCTATTTGGTAATTTCTTACTTTACCGGCTAAGCTGGCTCACCTGCGTATGTCATAGAGATAACCAGAGATAAATGCAATGAGTTGAAGCTAAAGTTGAGATAAATTCAAAAGAAAAAAATGCCCAAGTATTTAAGCCCTCTCTGCGCGGTCGCGTCCGCGCCCTCTCTTGATGCACATCTTGACATGAGGTTGTGTGTAAATTTAAAGGACTGAGGTGATATGATATATCTGACTCTTGATGAAATTCCTCAAACTCTTTGAGTATGTATTCTAGACTCAGCTCAGGAGGAAGGGTGGAACTAGATAGATTGGTCAGAGTCCGTTCGGCAAGATTTATAAAACTCTATAACACGTTAAGTACACCACCCAAGCCAATTATGTATTGGTCATTTGTCAAAAGATTTTACGATACACGTTTTACCAAACTGCAAAACTGTCAACAAGAGCTCAGTTTTTGTTGACATTTTTGGTTGATTGTTTGGTGTGTTTGACTTTTTCAATATGCCCCTTGAAAAAGGGGCAAATCAAAAAAGGGTTTTTGTGTAACACTCACTTTTTGGATAAAGCTGCCAAATAGGCCCCTAGACGTGAGAAGCGTACTTTTTAAAAAAAGAAAATGAGGTTGAACGCAGAAGCAGAGTAGTAGAACGAGTTGACATCCAAGGGCATCAAGCAACTGTCCTTGACCTTGATGTTTTCAAAGATGGACTTTGCAAAATGTTTAACAAGGAAGATAAGATACCAACCAGTCCGCCACTGGGATTTGCCTTTTTTATAGGTGGTTGTCCATTTGATCCTTCTTTATGGCTTTTGTTGTCTCTTGCTTTTGCAACCCCTCACAGGAACTGGCCTAGTTAATCCAGCATAAAAGTGTGGAAACACAATGTGGACTTGGTGCTACCGGAGAATTATCCAGATACAACCACCTGGTGTCTGCTCCTTATTTGTATTAGTAATACCTGTGGTTTAACTACTGCTAGATATGAACATAAAACCAAGTGTCCATTCCAAAAAAATACGAACAACCTATTGAAACATGGCAAGTTCTTGAGAGGTGGTGCAAAAGTAAGAGGTGGCAAAAGCCAAACAGAAGGAACAAACAAACAACCACGGCAAAAAAGGCAAATCCCCATGGCGGAATGGTCGGTACAGTCGATTTCAGAAAGCTTGGAAACTTTTGCCCGCCAAACTTGAGCAGTTTGGCGCGGCATTCTTTCCAAGCTTCGTGAAATTGACTGTATCTTTGAAATTACTAATGATTTCAACCATACAATGGTTTCCACAAAAGTTCATGATGGGAATCCACTGTATCGTCGAGGCTGACTTTCCAGTGAGTGTGGTGCGCTCTGGCGCACTTCTTTTATGGTACTTATGTCAACACGTTGGTTCCTTCTTCGTCAACCTGAGCCCCGGAACCGACACCCCGAGGGTTACCCGAGCCCCGAACCGTCGGGGTTAGGGTCCGGTTAGCCTTTTTTTGGACCCAGATACATCGGGGCCCCGTCGGTTTCGGGCGCGGGGTGGGGTTGGTTTAGGCGTCTCGAACCGCGGATAACCCGCGGGTTTTTAGCAATTTCAGCAAAGAGATAGATTTCAAATCTGAGACCGGTGACAAGGTAGTAGAAAAAAGCAAAGACAAAACAAGTAGAAAAAAACAGACAGTAATATGTTGAAAGAAAATTAAAGTAAAAAAACCTTCAAAAAAAGAAAAGTATATGATAAAAACGATTAATCGCTATCATCATCAATAACAATTTGAGTTCCTGAAACAGATGTTCTACCAATGTTATTTGGGAAAAACATAGCCCCAAAGAGGCGAAACCACTCCTTGAGACACAGAAGGATTTCCACACTAGTCGGAGTAAGAGATGATCGTTGAGGTCCGATGATACGCTTTGTCTTGCTAAACGCTCCCTCGGATGATGTGCTTGTAGCTGGAATTGAAAGGTACATCCTTGCCATCTTAGCAAGTCCTGGTAGTGCGTCCTCCTTCCCTTTCCAAAAAGTTACGATATCCCCCCGATGACGGTCACAATCACCCAAATAGCGATTAATCTCGCTTTCAATGGTGGCGTATGAGGTCGGTTTGTCGCTTCCGTAGATTGCTTCGGCAAACCGATTTTTTGGCTTCTTTGGTTTGATCTTAGAGGGTGGAGGAGCACAGGTGAAAGTTGATGCCATATCGATAAAGTGTTGTTTGAAGTCGTTAGGAGTCATGTCATATCTTAAAAACAAATCGGAATGTTCCTAGGTATGAGGTATGCAAATAATCTTCAATTAGTATAAGCAAAAAATTCATGATTTGAAGAATTACTTACCTCAAAGAATTTCATCTTGAGGCGAGGATTCAATATCATGGCACAAATGGGTGCTGGTTTTGTCAGTACTAATTTAAAGTATTCCTCCAGCTTCTCAAACATGTCCTTTGCAGCTGGTAAAAGCTGATCGTGGTCATACTTCTCCTTGACCTGAAGTAAGAAATATAGATTGATTATCAGAATCGAGTATTAGATGGAGGTGGTAAAGAAAGTACTTACCTCCAACAAATTCTCCATAATAACCGTGTAAACAGGTATGACTTCATGCATTGTAGGATATTGCCTTTGGCACAACAGATTGGTAGCTTCACTGAGGGGTTCGAGAAAATCACACATTTGCTGAACGTACTTCCATTCCAATTTTGAAAGTGCAAACTTCGGGGCTTGGCGTTCACAATACTGTACACAGGCATCTTTCAGTCGAAGGGCTCGCTTAAGCATGTAGTATGATGAGTTCCAACGGGTTGGAACGTCGATCATCAACCTGGTGGCACGATCTTTTGATTTCGCAGTTTGAGATATGTTGGGGTCTTCCTCATCTGAGTTGGAGGGTGTGCGATGTTGGAAGAAGCTGACAGTGTCGTCGTCCAGTTGCACCTCAAGGTCTTCCTCATCGTCAATATCGTCAGTGTTTTGTTGACCATATCTATCTTTATCTTTATCTTTATTTTGATTTTTATCTTTCTTGGCTTCAGCTTCAGGATCTTTTTGAATATCACGAACAAGAGCTATCACATTAGCAAAGTTTTGACTACGTTGAGGAGTTTTTCGAGTATACATAGCCAGACCGTGTATACGAGCATAGATGGTCTTCAAATCGACAGTTGAATTGTCAGGAGAGTCGACAATCTTCATCAAGGATGGAGGGAGAGGTTCTGAGTCTTCAAAAGAGTCGTCTCCAAATAGTTTGAGGCCTTGCTTGGCAACTAAATTGATCACATGTGCACAGCATCCCATGAGTTGATTCTCAGCGAAATTGAGGTCGGGATTTTGAGAAAGTAATCGACCAATCTTCGTATTGACGCTGGCATTATCGGCTGTCATACCGGAGATCTTCATGCCCAAATCGAACTTGCAGATATACTTGGAAAGTATATCTGCAAAGTTATCGGCATCATGGGCACCTAAAAGCACCAAAAGTCAGAATCAAATACACACAATGAAAGAAATAGAAAATAAAATAAATTACTCGCCTTCAATATTAGGCATCCCAATTACTACGTCCATAAGCTTCCATTCTTTGGTGATGAAGTGGCTCGTAATTCCTAAGAATCCGTGATGATTAGGTGAAGTCCATGCGTCTTGAGTGAACGCTACGTAGTCCGCTTGATCGAAAAACGTAGACTTGATGAATTTCTCATAGTGTGTATATACTTTAGTACAGTGCTGAGCTATCGCGTGTCGTTGCACAAGCATTCCCCTAGTTTGAGGGTTTATGAGTAGAAGGAGGTCCTTGAATGACTTTTGGTTGACAATTGCATATGGAAGATCACAGTCGGCGAGGAAATAGGCGATCAAGGTCTTGAGAGTCTCCACGTTGAGGGTTTCCTGTAAGTACAAAGTAAAGAAAGAGAGAAACGAGTTTGAATAATGTGAAGATGAAGTGATGATATCGCATGCCAAACCTCACCTGTTCACCTATAGTGCTTTGCTTGAAGTGTCCAATAACACTCAGTTGCTTCTTTGGTGCTGGACCATCCTCGAATAGTTTATGTTGAGACTTCAAGTGATTACTCATCGACTTGGTACTTCCGGTCGAGTCGTCTTTCAATGTCAGGCCACAGCTTTTGCCAGTCTTCGGATCGATAACTTCACAACGATTAAAGCCGTCTCCTCTTTTAGCACCTGGGATCTTGACAAAGTGAGTCCAAACGTAGCTCGAACGCTTGCGTTTGACGGTTTGTGTGGCCACTGATGAGGTGTCGCCATCGTCGGCATCGGTGGTATCTGGACGACTCGAGGTAGCTGGGGTGGAAGCGCGAGTGGAGGCTTGAGATGCAACACGTGGCTCAGTTTGAGCCATGTTGCATAGGATCGATGGGGAGTGGGTGGTTGAGGGTTTGAAGAAGGATCAAAGTCTAACTTCCGAGGTCGGAAGGTAGACTTTGGGCGTGCCCCGACGGGGCGCCCGCGGGCATCCGCGGGCGCCCCGTCGGGGCCCCGAATACTTTTGGGCCCCGTCGAGTAGTCGGGTTCGGGCGCGGGGTACGTCTTGGGAGCCGGGTTTTGTTCGGTTCGGGGTACGGTTCGGGTGCGGGATGGCTCATTGTCTATCGGTTCGGGGTGCGGGATGGCCATTACCCGCGTTTTTCGGGTCGGGGCTCAGGTTGAGTTTTGTGAAGTCATGTCACATGGTACCAGAGATGTGACAGGTGCAAAAGATGCGCCTCAACGAGGGCTATCAGATGGTACACATGTCTGACCCTGAACATGACTGGTGGCTTGGGAAATGTGTGATTTGTAACTTTTGGCCCCCCAGACCGACGAAAATCCATACCGGCTCGGGTCGGGTACTTACATACGGATATCTCGGTGATTACACGTGGTACAAATGAAAGTATATGTAATCGAGAGCCCTGATCAAGGCGCTTCTCCTACCACCGAGAAATCCATGTTAACCCACCTCTCCTCGGGGCAAATAGTGAAAGTGTGAGGGCCGGGGCCGGAATGGATCGAGGACGGTTTGTTCTCCAGGAGCTTTCCGGGGTCCTACTTCCACTCATTCCGAGCATTCCAACCAAAACTCCATCCAGAACCAACCTCAAGCTGAAGCTCAAGCAGCACCAAAACCACCCAAGAAAATGCCACAAGAATTACTTTCATTCCCACCGATTTATCTTTTAGTAGGAATCTACAGACTCACAACCGATCCAAAGCTATGGTATCCGATCTGGAAAGACTGTAAATCAACCATAAAATCGACCATCCTAATCTCAATTGGAACCTCAATCATAACCTTACCCCTCACAAACCTATGGGTAAAATTCTTTATGAATAGCACAAGCTTGCTTAGGTATACAGAAGAATCATTTTTTTGGAAACTTTCGGTTCAAAGAATTGCAGTTTTTTCTATTTGGATTGGACAACTTAGTTGGTTGATTGAATGGTCTTTAAAACGAAAACTTATGAAATCTAAAAAATTTGTGTATCAATCTACTTTAGAGTCTAGGAATAAACCTAATTCTTTTTGGGCTGAGTATTTTGAAGAATGGGAAATCGCTCCGGTTTTAAAGGCGAAGAGAAGGTTAAGGAAAAGGGGATGGTATAATACTTTGTCTGGTCCATTTGTTAGGTTTTTCGTACTTAAAGGTAAGTTCATGTTAACTATCCTTTTCGATTTAAGTGTAGAAAATAGTTTGGGATTGATTGACATGAGTTCTTTTGATGTGGATATTATTCTAGTGTTACTTATTCCACTTCACTTCGTTCCATTCCTGAACACGATCATCATATCACTCTTATCATCCCTAACGTTTTCCGAAACACAACTAGCCCCATACTTCAAATCAAAAAAGATGACGGACCTACAAACCTCAATCTTCATAACCGAAAGAGAAAGAGAATTAAGGTTACTAGGATTCATTGGTTGCTTATTACAAAGAATCCCATTGATCGGAATGATCTTTTCGATTTCGAATCGGATTGGAATTGCTATGTATGCTCATGATTTAGAAAAACGTCAAGAGTTGTTTAGGAAAGGGATCTTGAAACCTAAAGGGGCTTATCAGAGTCGTACGGCTCTGGTCGAGTTGGATTTACCTAGAGATGCTATTGGAAATTTTCCAAAGAAAGAAGCTTTAGAAGAAGAAGAAGAAGAAGAAGTCTCGGAGAAGAAGTTGGATTGAGTTGGTGGAATGTATACAAAAGCTTTTTGTGGTGATCTATCTTATAATAAAAATCGTTTATTATTTTAATTTTCTTTAAACCTTTGTTTGTATCATATAATCTGTCTTGTTGTGATTCTTAATATCAAGCTTGTATCCCCCCCAAAAAAAGTGGTCGGTAAGACTTTTACTACATTTATTAATGTTGGCTAATCGAAATCTATTAATGATGAACTGAATCGTATCTTTTAGTTAATCAAAAGGTTGATAATGTAAGAGAAATAAATCAAGAGGATCTCCACCTGAGAAAGATTGTAAAAACCAAAAATACTGAAATAACAAGAGCTCAAGTTTTGACTGTCTGAGATTGGTATCTAATCTTGATCAAACACATCGATATGGTGCCCGGACGACCTATGCACTTAAGAATGGATTGTATGCATTGAATTTCTATGAAGGGACATGGTTTATTTTGAAATGTGGTTAGTATTTGAAACCTCGAACGCTCAAGAGAAAGTTTTGAAGCTAAAGATAATTGATTTTCTTCAACTCGATCTAAAGACCATGATATATTCACGCATTGTAGTAGCGAACCGAAATTCCTTCATGTTAGTGAATCTGATCAACTCAAAGTAGTCAATCACTCTACAGGAGTAATGACTCCTATGGTGACTTTGATCTAGAAGTTAGGATCATAGGAGACTCTATGAAACATGAATGAAAGATTCCATAAGATTTTATCCAACATTGAAGGGCTGGCTCATGGCATCAGTAGAGTATAACCAACTGACTTGAAACGAAATTCCACAGTCTCTGCTAGCGATATTTTCCAGAATATGTTCTTTTCTTAAATTCTTATCAATAGGAGATAAAGAAGTAGACCAAGGATTGGTTCGAGTTTCAATAATCTTCAAGTTAAAGATTGAATGAAGAGTAATTTTAAAAGATGGACTGGTTAATTTGATTGAAACTGATTCAGATCAAACAATGACACTTTAGTTCAAATCGAAATCTTTATTCCATCAACCATCCCACCAAATCATGAAAACTAAAACCATTATCTGATTTCTTCAACTTTTCTTATATCCTTTAAATATTTTTATCAAACTTTACCTTTGTTTAATCAAATACCATGATGATGAAGCTCTTAATCACAAGTTTATGGATCTTATTAATCCAAGTTGTCCTTAATGATGCTCAACAAGTCGAACTTTGTAATGGCTATCAAGAATATTGTGAACGTCAATATTCAAATATCACTTTTCTTGCTGGTATGAAACCTTCACAATCTCTTCTTAGAAAAACCGCATTTCTCATCATCACTTGACTGTTTTTGTCTTACTTTTCTAGCTCACGATTCTCCAAATGTTCAAGCTGGAAGGTAATCCCTTCAAACAATTTCGTATCTTACCTTTCAAAACTTCAACTAATTGTTTTATGTTTTGGTTCATTTACAGTGTTGCAGCAAACCAAGCCCGTAAGCTTCTCCTACAACCCACAAAAAGCTTTTAATCATATCCCAACCCTTACCATTTATTCTCACTTCTTAGGTACAGTTATCCAACAACTAAACGATGGAGTAAGAATGTTAACTGCTCAACTACATAACCAAAATGGAGTGATTCATCTATGTCACACCACGTAAGTTGAAAAAAAAACTCATAAGGTAGAAGTCAAAAACTAAACTTTTTTTATTCTGATGTATGGAAAAAAAATAGGTGTCTTTTGTTAGATAAAGGTCCTTTATTAGATTACTTGATTCAAATCAAACAATGGTTAGACCAAAACCCAAGACAAGGTAAACTTTCCCCTTCCTAACCTATCCTTCTTTACCTACCTATCTTTCTTTGCTGATCTATATACTGAAATATTTGTGTGTTTTGAATAGTGATAAGTTTTCTATGGGTAAACAGTGATAACTTTTCCCCTTTAGTAATCAAAGAAGTTTACGCAACTTCAGGTTTAGAACCTTTAACTTATTCACCTAAACATTCTGGATCGGTTATGAAGGATGAATGGCCTACTTTAAAAGAAATGATTGATGCTCGTACTAGGTATTTTTGAGTTCTTATTCTTGTTTTACCAATTCAAAATATCTGATGTGGTTTTTGGGGTTTGGTGAAATAGGGTGGTTTCTTTTATTGATAATTCTGCGGATTTCGGTCTGGTTCCTTATTTAATTGATGAGTTTAGTTCGATTTGGGAAACACCTTATGGTAAACCACCCACCCAAACCTTCATTCCTTATCCTCTCCTAAACCTCACTAACCCCATTCCCTTAATTTTCTTGGGGGGATCACAGATGAAACGAATTCAAGTTTCCCATGTACGATCAACCGAATCTCAAAAGACTTAAAAAACATAACTCCAACTCCCAAGATTATGTATGCAATTAATCATTTCTTAGATACTTCAATCGATTTAATTGGTCAAGAAGTTTTAATACCTAATCTAAATTCATTGAATTTAACTAATTCTTACTTGTCTATTTTTAATCAAACTTTGAGTTGTTTTGATTTGGTTAATGAGTTACCTAATTTTATTTTACTTGATTTTTGTTAGTCGGTTTCTTTTTTCTTCTTTATCTCTTTTTCGAACTTGATTATTGATGGTTTTTTGGTTTGGTTTTTTTTTTGGTTTTTTTTGGTTTTTTTTTGGGCGGTTTAGATGATCAAGGTGATCCAATCCAAGAAACTTTTTTAAAACTTAATCAAATTCCATTCCCACAAATCAATTCTAATAACCTTTCTAATTCTAATATTAATTCTAATCCATTGAAATCTAATTCGATTAATCAATCAAATCAAATCCATCAATTCTTTAAATACATTTCTTTGGTTTTCTAATCATCTCATTTTGTTTTGTTTTGTAAATTGCATTTAAACTTGGTTGTAGATTTATTCTTTAATTTGGAACGTTTTGTTGGATCATTGGGGTTTCTTGGTCGGAACGAAATTGCTTTCAATAAGATTTCAAGTATCATAGAGAAACAGATTCTCAAATGTATTTTCTCATTGAGCTTATGACAAAATGCTTCAACTATATAGTTGTAGAAGAGAGGGAAGGTCATAACCTGTTGGGTTTTATAAAGAAGGTAAACAGAGTGTGTTTGTAAAGATTTCCTTTCTGAAATCTTACCAAACCTAATCTTTAATAAACTCAGCATCAAATCCGACTTTCAAACTCACTAGGCTTGCTTCTGATTCCTGATCAACGTGTTTCCCGAGTATGTACCACTCCAGAAACCAATCTACAATCTTTCAAAAAAAACTTTTGATCCAGGGACAATTGTTTGTGTGAGATGAATGAGGTATTGTCCGGAAGTAAACAGGAGGAAACCTCTTCGTCAGCGATTCTCATCAATAAAACTTATAAGTAGTGAACAAACCCACCAAAAAAAAATAGTGAGAAGTCCAAAGATCATGGGTTTAAATTCAATGAAGAGGTTATTTTTTGTGGAATAGTCTTTCAAAACATCGATCAAAAATCGATCAATATTTCATTCCACCCATTCAATTATTGATTGATATTTCATCTCACCGATTCAAAGCATATGTATACAGATCGTCTCATAACTGCCTGTTTTGGAAGTCGAAACACTGTCAACGAATTGTCTTCAAAGCTCTCACTAGTTTTCTTTTCGAAGCCAAGTTCATGGCAGTAGGCAGGTCAAGCTGCCAGAATTGAGTTTGACGGGTAGAAGCTGGTAGACCTGCGGCGCGTACGCTTCACCTTTTTGGAAAAAGGGCGTACCGAACGGCACAACACCCAGGTGTACGCTTCACCTTTTTGGAAAAAGGGCGTACCGAACGGCACAACACCCAGGTGTACGCTTCAAACTGCCTTCAAGCGCTTACATTGATAAAGATCTACAAATTTGACACAGCATTTTTAAACATTTTTTCTCTGGTCGAGAAAGAATTGATCTTTGAAGAAACCGAACCGTGTAAGAAATCTCTCTACATGATGACGTTTTGATTACTTAATCGAGATTTACGGATTTTCAGACAAGAGAATTGAGAGATCTATAGTTTTGAGGGTTTTCATCGGCGATGGAGTTTTCGAAACAAGTTCAAGTGTACTTGAGTCTGACTAAAGATTTCCAAGATAAAGTCTTATCGATTTATGATTCTAAACTTCATCTGGAGTACAAAGGTTGGTTTAGAGAGGTCATAAATCACTCAATCATTTGAGATGATAGAATCTCCCATTTGATAGACATCAAGTGGTGCTTATTATTTTCTTAGAGATTTGGTTTCTAAGAAATATCACTCTTGGTCGCCATTTCTATTATTCTTATTATGCCTTGTGTAGTCAACATATTCAAGATGCTACTTTTGATTACCTTTCTCTGTTTGCCAGTTCTGAGCTCATTCTCTACAATCAGGTATGCCAGTAAGTCCTATCATGCGCTCTGAAAATCTAATCCAGCGATCGGTATTATGATCATCAATTTCCAAAAAGACTAAAACCCTTTTTCTTTTTGTAAATGTGTTTCTTTGTGTTATAATCCTCAGATGAGAAAGGTGAGTTGAGATACATATCCGATCTAGAAACTAGTATCTGATGATAAAGGCTCTTAACTTAACAGAAGGAAAAGTCATAGATCTTGGACAAGAGTTTTTGAATCAGATTAGCAGACCAGTTGGTACGAATCCAGCTGAAAAACTTATCAATCTTGGGTGTAGGAATCAACCTATGATTTATATTGATGGGAATGAAAAATCTTTCGATGGTTAGTACTACCAAGTCATGAGATATCTAAAATTATTGTTACTTCTCTTTGTCATACATTAATAGAAAGAGTTGAATCTGATTTGAACATCTCTTGATTTTTGATCTTATCTTGATCACTAGAGTTCTGTACCCTAGTATCTAAACACAAGTTCTCAAACTTTGAAGGACAAGTTTGCACAAGTAAGTCATTTCTAAAACATCAAAAATCATATCAAAAAAATCATATAAAAAAACTGAATGAATAAAAAAACCTGAACAATATTTTTTTCATCTATTATTTTTTATAGTGGAATGTATTCCAAGAAAAAAAGATCATTATAAGGTTTTTTGGAATTATGTTTATGATCAAGATCAACTTAATGAAATTTATAGAGATGAAGCTGAACTTCATATTTTTAAAGAAGGAAAACATTATAAGATTTATTATATTAGGATTGATGTGTTTAGACAGGTACCTACTATTGAGATAAGTTAAGAGATGTGGAATATAGTAGACTAGAGAGTTAACTGAGTCTGAAAGTTTTGGATGTTTTATGAATTGAACTTGGTTGAAAGTGTCCTCAATAGAGTCACCCCAATGAATTGGTCAATTAGTTTTCCATCAGTTACTTTTTTTATATACTCTTTAAGTATTCTCTTTTCCACAATGTTCAAAAAATCAATACGTATCAAATCTTATAAAAACAGTATATCTTTATAAAAATCCTTTTCATCATCCTAAAATTTATATATGTTTTTTTTTCAATTGGTTTTTTTACTAGTAAAAAGATTACATTATTAGTGCCTCATTTTTTCATTTTTGAAACTCAAAACCCTTCTTTTTCAAATCAGAAGATCACATGTTCATTTGATTTTATAAAAAGACAGTGACATATCCAATCATGAGATATTATTACTATTCCCCAGATCCAAAAAAAATGTGACCACCCACATCTACTTTTTGTAGACATTTTTCTTCTATCTTGGAGTCTTTTAATTTTTCTCTTCTTCTCATGGGACAAAATCTCATGGGAGGAAAATTCAAGGTTTAGACCTCAAGGCTAATTTGTCAGCCACCAGTGGCATACAGACTGGTGAAAATTCAAAGAAAATATACCATTACTGATCATTATAAGAAACATCATGAAGCCTAAGGTATCAAATTTTAAGTTTACAATGTACAATCCACGCTCACACCCAAAGCCACAAATCCTTGTGGCGCCACACCACAGCAGGGCTCAGGGCTGTGATCATGGCTGTGACCATGGCTGTGGCTCAGGCCATGGCCCTGGGCCCTCTGTGGCCTTTGCAGGGCATTAAGTTCAGCTAAGCCCCCTAAAGACAGGCTTAATCATGGGGTAAGGACCCAAAACAAGGTTGTCTATGATCACACATTCTCTGGCTGACACAAATGAAAACAACTGTTCATAAAATCATTCTCTATTTTGAAGCTCTGATTTTGATTTGTGATGATGAATGAAAAACAAACTGATTTGAGATTCAAATCTTTGGAATCAAAGGATGTGAATATGTTAACAGTGAAACAGAGTCAAACAAAAGGTATCAACAATCAACAATCTTAAAATGTACTACATTTAAATAAAAATCAATATGTTTTGAGTTATCTTCAAAGAGTGGTCATTTCATTGTCCTGATGCCATTCAAGCCACAATGAATCTTAAACCATTTCCAAATTGGAACACAAGCTTAGCTCTTGTTTCTTATTTATAATTTGTAAAAGATCAAGATAGCTAAGTGAGATTACTAGACATGGGACATCTTCTACCAATTCTTCAGAGACTATACAGATTGGAGCTCCAGTCTTTCTGGCAATCAAGATGGTCAATTTATCTATGATCAATGATCACAAGGAAAGGGTCAGGAATTGAAGAAATTTTTGGGAAGGTAAACAAGAAAGAAGGACTCAACTATTCATTGTACATCCATCATTGATACGACCTTCATAAACTGATGAATGACATACATAACCAGGTTTCAGAGCATCAATTGAATTGAGATTGAAAAGTTGAGTGAATAGCTGGATGAGTCGCATCTGTTGCATTCACAGGGATTTGGATATCAGTAGTCTTAGAGATTGAGGAATTGGTGAACGCTGGATACATAGCTTGTTGTGGTTTCTCAAGTATGTGCCCCAGATCAGGGCTTTATTGTGGCACCACGGTAAGGCCCTGGCTAGAAGGGGCCTTACCATGGCAGGCCATTACCTGGGCCACAAAAAAGGTGCCAGGTGTGAGCGCAATGTACAATAGATCACTTCCCTGCAAACATTAGGGGTTGGACAAAAAATTGACCAACCAGTTTTGCGCCTTTGAGAAGCAAGTCAAAGCAAGTCAAAGATGGCCAGCAACGACTGTGTGCAGGTTTCACAGACCTTTTGTTCTGCTAGGTCACTCAAAGTTGGGGGTTGGGTCTGAAGACAGGCCTTTTCAACTGAGCTGAGCTCCAAAAGAGCCTAGGTTGTACCTGGCTCTCCTTTGTGAAAGGTGGAAAGATGGTGTCTACGTGGCTTGAGTGGCACAAATTGCTTTGGTTTTTTGAATTGTTTGGGCTTTGGAATGATCAAGAACACTGCCCACCAGTTGACTTTTGGTGATTTTTTTGCAAAGCAAAGCAAAGAACAAGTTTTTTTGTCGGCTTTGATATTGTTCTAGCAATTGTTCCTGAGCATTTGTCAAAAACTGAATTACAACTGAATGGACTTCAGAAACTAGTTGGTTGGTTTTTTGCCCAAGCCCTATTATGCAACTCTCCCAAGTGGGCAGGAAGCAATTAGTGGGAGTATGATTTGTCATAAAATGATCTATCACTCCACACCTGAGCCATATAACCCACACTACATATGCAAACTTAAGTGGTTAGGTCTGTGTAAGGACTTACTTAAGTTTGCTAAATATGTGTAGTGGGGTCAGTGAATAGGTGGTTATCATGTACATACAGTTCTGCTCAGTTATCTGCGCACAGGATAAGTTATTCATGTGTAATACATGCTGTAACTATTTACAGATTGACAGAAGCATTCAAAAGATTGACTACATACACTGACTCAACGTTTTGGTGTAAGTTCATCAACTCAACTGCATGCAACACCCTTCCTGTTACTAAGCAATAGCTTCAACAATAATGCCTGAGCAGCTACAGGATTATATGTAGTGAATTCTCGGGACAATTATTTCAAAGTCAAAAAAGTTACATGTGGTATAACATGTGATTTATTTATTCTGATGAGCAAAAAACTGAGCAGACCTGTATGTACATGATAGGCAACTATTCACTTAGCTTGCTGCACATATGTAGTGTGGGTGTTATGGCTCAGGTGTGCAGTATTGGATCCTTTTATGACAAACTGTACCATGAATCGTTTTCCTCTTCTAACTTGGGGAAGTTAAATGATGTTCACAATGCTTCAAATAAAATCATGCTTGGATAGAAAAATGCTTATTTCAAAGAGAGAAGAATTTCAATACGAGTTAACACATTATCCAAAATCACAATTCTTTGAGACATTGACCTCTTACACTTTTGTAATATAATATACAGTCAATCCAGAATAGCTTGATAAAATGAAATTTATTTATTTTTAATTCACAGCAATACAGCCCAATACAGGCATTCTTATAAGCATAGCCTACAGTTGAGATAGGTGATTTGAGGTTCAACCTCGGGTTCACCCTTATCTCAACTTCCTCGATAACAACCATTCCTTATCGTTCAATCATTCGTCCATCAATTAGTCCATTATCTTTCTCATATCCGTTATGCCATATGTCAAATACTCCCCTCAGTTGAAGGTTTTGCTCTCAATAAGTTCATATTAGGTCAACCGGTTGCCTCCATCAACAATGATCTCCTCACTTCGATCTCAGCGCAAACCTTCACACGTTGGAAAGAACTCTACGACCTTACTCATGCGGTCATCAGAGATCCGAATTCATATGATAAACAAGGACGTCCGACTATATATTCCGATCAAGACCGACAGTTCATGCTTGAACTTATTGAAGCCGATCCGTGCATGTTCCTGGACAAGGTCCAGGAAGCAATGTATGATCATACCGATCTACTCTCTTGTTGACAAACTATTGCCAACGACCTCAAGGAGCGACTTTACCTCACCGTTCACAAGGTTGCAAAGGTTGATAGCAACCAATCAACCGAGCTACGAGCAGCATACTCGGGTCAAGTTGCCCATCTTCCACCAGAGTGTCTGGTCTTCTTAGGTAAGCAGTTCATTTTTCCAACACTTCTATCTTCTTCAATACTTGATCTGATTATCCTTTCATCCATCATGAAGATGAGACCAGGCTTCGACCACAGGATGTTGAACAAAACCACGTTAGGTCCAAGAAAGGTGAAAGACCCAAGTCTTTGAAGCGTACGAGGGCGGGGAATCACTATACTGTGCTGGCTGCCATCTGTGAATTGGGCTTACTCGCAGTCAACGCCAAGGTCAATGGCTATTGTCGAGATGAGTTCCAGGCCTTTTTGAAACACATCTTGGTAAGTGACTGTTTCTATCAAAATCGATCATGAATAATGAGCTGATGCGCTCAATTCTATTCAAGCTCCCTGTCATGGGTCGCTTCCCAAATCGAAACTCGGTTTTGGTGATGGATAACGCAACTATCCATCGCCGTGGTGGAATACTAGCGTTGTGCGAGGCAGTTGGGGTATTATTGGTCTATCTTTCACCTTGCTCTCCTGACTTCAACCCAATCGAGCGCGTATTCAAGGTATTCAAGGATGCCCTTTGTCGGAACGGGATTTTTGCTGAGGCTATCGATAAGTTGAAATGTTTGAAAAGGGTAATGAGCCAAGTTTGTACCAGCTCTTTCATTGTCAATCTTTACAAGACTGGTGGTTACAGACCTAAAGATGATGACGATGAGTTTTAAAAAAAATGTTGTAAAAGCTGCCTCAATATTGATATCAAAAGAAATGCAAAGAAAGATATTGTTTTATTATAAGCTTGAGTGAAGTTATATCGAGGAGGTGAACCAATTTGATGAGAACATGGAACACAGTACAGCATGCATTTTTTTTTTAAGAAAAATCTCATGCTTCTAAGAGGTTTAGGTATTGATGTTTCTGTAGTTGTAGTCAAGAGTCACGTTTTGTGAGTCTGAAGGCAGGTTTTGATCAAACTCAGGATCAATCTTGATATATGATCAAGACCTTTCTATCTCATGTTTCTCAAAACATGAGATAGATCATGAGATATTTTGTGAAATCTAGAAACAAGAAAATCTTGTTGTTCATTTAGTCTTGGTTCAAGTGAGTGGCATAGAATTAAAATCTTGAAGAAAGTTACTCTCATTTGGCACTTTGAACACTTGGTGGTTTTGAACTTGTTTTTTAACTAAACAACAGATTGATTACAGCATAGTTTTGCTCAACAAACAAACAAACAAAGGATAATATATAACGAGTCATTTTGCTATAGTATACTGTGGCTACAACATATAAACGTTACTCTTT